TTAAAAAAAGCTAATTGATCATCTCCTTGGCAGGAGAATATTTGTTTACTCTCTGTATCAGTATTACAGTGACAGTATTGTCTCAGGAGTTTGTAGTTATTAAGTAGTAGTTACTCTGTTTTAATTTATTATCAGCATTTTGTTTTTTATTATTCTTGTGTATTTGGGTGCTCTGGGTCCAGCCCGTATTTGAATATATACCTTGTGATCATCAATGCTGTACAATGCTAAACTACCAGTGTTCTAAAGTTTGCTGGCTGCCAATCAAATCAAAAGCAGTATGCTTAGAACATGTGTTTGTTTTTATCTGTGTTTCGGTTTTTAGGAAGAAACTTTAACGTGTCTGGTTAATGTGTACACGGTGCAACAAGTTTTGCTTAAAACGTGAATTTTCAGGATGTAAAACAGCTAGAAGAACACTCATTAACATGCAGTCTTAATATGAATTTAATTTTTGCATATTTATAGAAATAAAACATTTTCTACCCTGACATGCAGCAGTCTATTTGTTTTGAAAATGTAATTAAGGTGTATTTAAAAAAAACAACAAATCTACAGTAGGTCATTAAATTAAGGTATTAAAAAGTTAAGATATTGCGGTAATGCATCTCTTTCAGCAAAGGAATTTTTCAGGTTTTTTTTCAACCCCTTGATGGACCAATTTAAATGGTAGGTTTAATTTTATATATATATATATATATCTTTTTATGTTTTATGGTTTTATTTTATATATATATATCTGAATGCAATTGTGCCTTTATGCTGTTGCTCAATTAATATTTGTAAACTATTTAGTTAAAAAAATAAAAAATTTGTGACAAAATTTATTCAATTCAGTTTACCTAATGCCTAATGGCACTTTATACCAGATTTATTCACCAGATCATAAAGTCAAATTGAGTCAAAGTTTTCTAAGGAAACATTGATTGCATTTACTCAAAGGCGATTCCTCACACCGATCATGCTTGTAGTGACAGTGAGGAGGAAAATGTCCCTTTTCACAGAAGGAAACATCCAGCAGAACCAGACTTGGTGAGAGCGGCCATCTGCCAAGGTCAACTCGGTTCCAAGAAGACAGAAGCAGACATACAGTAAGAAGCAGAGATACAAAAGATAAATTCTCCGTTCAACTGTCAATCCACTGTCCAGGAAACACACAGCCAGGCAGACGAGCTACAGCCAGTCACAGTCAGAGAAACCATACTACACTGAAAAACAGGCACATCCCGAACACAATGATCAATAATAACCTTCACCTTTATGGAACAGTTACAACAGAAACAAAATCTTGCCAAGGTTCCTATGTTCCCACTGGATGTGTAAAAACTATGGTAACTGAAGGAATGGACGGGCTATATTGAATGTTTATGTTACGCAAAGGATTTGTTGCATATTTTCAAAGGCAGGCATCAATGGGTTAAGTTTTCTTATCAATAGATTCCCCGACTAAGCTGTGGATCTCTGCAGCCCTTCAAGAGCTACAGTGGTCCTTTTTAGAGTGTCCAGCTTCCCAGTTTATTTATCAGGCCACCCATGCTTTGATATTGTTTTATAACCTTAACCATAATATCCTTGCTGACTCCTGACCCTTGGTCTTTGTGACACTGTTTGTTCACCATAGTATTTCCTCATCTTCGGGATTCCCTGATGCTGTAATCTGTATCCTCGTAGATTAGTCATGAGGCCTATCTAAGTTTTTCATGCTTAATCATGTCATCTTAATTGTAGGCTTTCAGCGTCTCCTTTAAAGTGTCTTCTAGTCAATAGCAAAAGGGGCTAGAATACTAATAGGTATTTTCTGTGTAATATATTGTAATGTATTGCTGCAAAAAAATTTTATTTAAATTCTTTCAGTGCTACTATGATCATTCTCTTTTATTCTACCAGCTGTTGCACATTTGTATATAGTTGGTGTATAGACAATAACTACGACAACCAGGTTCCAGTAGCTACAGAACACTGTGTTTAACTAAGAGGTGTAACCAATCATACTCTCAGGGATTCTTCATATATTGAGTTTTAACCAAACATATTTGAGTTTATTCTTTGTTTTATTTTACATGAAACTAATATATAGTAAAACTTTATTTTCTAAGACAACAGATTATTTCTCCAGGCAGCTAAGTTACACATTTTTCTAGTTACACTAAGATATAAATATTCAGTTATGTGAAGTTTGGGATGTTGCAAGCAGTTTAGAAAAATAAGATTAGCATTATCTATTGAAATACACTGTGTGCAGAATAATTAGGCAAATGAGTGTTTCGACCACATCATCCATTTCATACATGTCCTACTCCAAGCTGAATAGGCTTGAAAGCCAACTACCAATTAAGTAAATCAGGTTGTGTGCATCTCTGTAATGAAAAGGGGTCTGACCTAATGACATCAACACCCTATATAACGTGCGCTTAATTATTAGGTCACTGCCTTTCCTTTGGCAAAATGGGTCAGAAAGAGATTTGACAGACTCTGAAAAGTCCAAAATTGTCAGATGTCTTTCAGAGGGGTGCAGCAGTTTGGAAATTGCCAAGCTTTTGAAACGGGATTATCGCACAATCAAGCGATTCATGGCAAAAAGCCAACTATGGCACAAGAAGCGTGTTGAAAAAAGAATATGCAAAAGTAACTCCCCATGAATTGAGAAGGCTCAAGTGTGAAGCTGCCAGGAAGCCATTAGCCATCAGTTGTGCCATATTTCAGAGCTGCAACATGTCTGGAGTGCCGAGAAGCACGAGATGCTCAATATTCAAGGACCTGGCCAAGGTAAGGAAAGCCGAAAAAAGGCTACCTTTGAACAAGACAAAACGTCAAGATTGGTCCAAGAAATACCTGAAGACTGATTTCTCCAAGGTGTTTTGGTCTGAAGAAATGAGAGTTAGTCTTGATGGGCCAGATGGATGGGCACCAGGCTGGATCAGTAAAGGGCAGCAAGTTCCTTATCGACTCAGACGCCAGCAAGGTGGAGGTGGAGTACTGGTATGGGCTGGTATCATCAAAGATGAGCTTGTGGGACCTTTTCAGGTTGATGATGGAGTCCAGATCAACTCCCAGACCTACTCCCAGTTTCTGGAAGACACCTTCTTCAAACACTGGTACAAAAAAAAGTCGCCATCATTCAAGAAAAACATGATATTCATGCAGGACAATGCTCCGTCACACATCAAAATACACCACAGCATGGCTGGCCAGAAAAAGTCTAAAAGGAGAAAGAATAATGACATGGCCTCCTTGTTCACCTGATCTGAACCCCATGGAGAACCTGTGGTCCTTCATGAAATGTGAGATCTACATGGAGGGAAAACAGTACACCTCTCTGAACAGTGTCTGGGAGGCTGTGGTGGCTGCTGCACCCAATGTGGATTGCAAACAGATCAAGAAACTGACAGAATCTATGGGTGGAAGGCTTTTGAGCGTCATGGTGAAGAAAGATTTTTGTTTTTGAGTTGTTATATCGGTTTACCTGGTGAAAATAAGTGAGATGGGTATGTATTTGTTTTTTATTACGCTGCCTAATAATTCTGCACAGTAATATTTACCTGCACACACAGACATCCTCATAAAATGGCCAAATCTAAAAAAAAAAAAAAACAAAAAAAAAAAAAAAAAACACATCAAACTCCAAAAATATGAAACTTTGTATTGCATTGTATTTTAGGTTGATTGAGAACACAATTTTGGTCCAATAATAAATATAATCCTCATAAATACAACTTGACTAGTTATTCTGCACATAGTGCAGAAAAAGGAGGTAAGCAGAGAGAAGGAAGCTTCTACGAGTGTTTTCTTTTTTTATCCCGACTGAAAAATGATCAAAAACAAGGGTTCTTGGAACTCGGTGGTTTGTATCACTCATTGACTGTGGCACACATGGCACTTGCAAAAAGTATGTATGTCCCTTGCACAGTACAGGTAAAGGAAGTGGGTAAGATGAAAGACATTTTTTTCTGATTTCCTGTTTTTAACACTGAACAAACAAGGTGTCCTCTTGTATATGGAGTTGAATTCGGCAGCAAAACCATGAAGTAACTTGGACATGTGACTGGAAGCCTTCAAGTAAGCCTTTCATACCTGCATTATGCTGCCAGGAGCAAATTAATCATAATCTTAACTCAAACTTTGCACTCTATGTGAATAATTTGCTCTACAGTAAACTTTTTTTTTTTGTAATGCTGTGGTTAGAGCTGCTTTAAGTGAAAGCTGAAAACACAAACCACAAAGACACAGGTGTGCAGCAGCTTGTGCAGGTCTGTCTAAAGGGGTAATTCATGCATGGTTCCAGCTGCTGTCCAGTACAAAAATGACTGTATGATGACGGAAGAAAAGAAAACAAAAAAGAATAGCACATGATACCAAGTAGCTTAAGGTGGTAAGTTTTATTTTCCCAGCCTCTATACAAAACCTTCTAAATACAGTCCTGAACACAAAGTACAAACAGGCTGTTGGTGAGTTTGGTTTGACAGAAACCCCTCTGCTCTGTGGCTTGTGATCTCAGGGTCTTTAAATGTAGCTGCAGGTTTTCCTGTAGCTTTTTTTCCCCTTTTTTTGTGTGAGTGTGTGTGTGTGTGTGTGTGTGTGTGTGTGTGATTCATACCAAGATTTGAGCACCTGCTGTTTTTCGAGATACCTGGTATGAGAGCAAAGGTAATTCATGATTCATAGCAAAAGAAACTTTCAAAAACCAATGCAAAAATTGTTTCATATTCATTAAATATGTATGTCTGATCACAAAGTGCTTACAGGAAGATATTACTGTATCTATTCCATCTTCAGCGTAAAAAAGTCAAAGGAATACCTTTTTGTATTATCTGAAAGCAATTAGGATAGTTCTGTAGGTGTATTTTCATTTCTTAAATTAAATTGTTAACTGTGATTTAAAATACCGTAGTCTTAATTTTCAAATGGAAAAAAAACACATGTGCTTCTCTCTCTTAAAATGGAGTTTGTGGTTTGATGAGTTCTCACATGACTTCTGAGGATACAAAGAAAGAAGCATTTCTCGTTGAGTGGAGACGTAACTTTTTTTCCTCTCTCTCTCCCTTCACAAAGGAAACCACCATCAAACACAGAAACAGTCTGCATGTCACACAGCGAACAGCTGTCAGTTAACATGACTGCTCCAGGTGGTGAGTACCTTATCAGTTAAAAGGATGGGTGCTTGCGCTGTGGTGATGAATGATTGGGTATGGTGGAAAATATACAACCTCAGAGCTAATTCCTCTTTTATTGTTGTTGTGAAAACTCACGTTATCTTTAATGTCGCTATTGTTCTGCTAGTTGCTGCAAAGAGGTAAAACACTGTGCTTGTAAAAAAGCATGGCATCTCAGAACCCTTTGTACATATAAAGTAGGTATGTCTGTAGAGCCCTTAATGTTTTAGTTACTTGATTTTTGATTAAAGTACTGTTTTTTTTTTTTTGTAAAACACCACAATTTACTTACAGTTACCAATAGGTCATGTTATCATTTATCAGTCTTTGTTATCATTAATAATCTTAAACGTTTTGGCCCTGCATTATGCACTTTTCCTGCCATTCTGTATTTGAATGTATATCACAAAAATGCTTGATTGGGTCTCCAGCATTTTAGCCTGTTTGAATAGAGTATGATGAAGAAGATAATTCTCCCCTCAGAATCTCTGAGAAACAAACTGCATGGCTCCTCAACATACTGTCTGTAGAAAAAAAATAAATAAATAAAACAATCAACTGATACTTTTGTTTGGACTGGAAGTTACTAACTTCTACTGTAACTAAAACCCTTCCCAACTGATCTGCCTGGTTTAAAAAGTAGTAAAACTTGTTCCAACACACAGGCAATCGACCACAGGGACAACAATTCTAACTTTAGGGACATTTTGTAAGCAGGGAGAAATACCCTTGTAAATGTCACTGGTTTCTGTTCACAGAAGGCTTTATTTCATCTGAAAAATGTACTCAATATTACTGAACACAAGGTGATATTGAGTATAAAGAACTGCCACACGAGTTATGAATTGCAGTACTGTAAGGCACTGATGGAGCATCTGCTGACTTTGGGAACTATCTGTGTTTTTTAGATCACCAAACCCTCCTGCCAAGTGTGATAACAATGTTCATCGATTTAAAGGTAAGAAAACTATGAATAAGATTAATATACAAACAAAAAATCAGAATAGCATTACATTAAATGTCATGTCAGTTGATGAAACAAAAAAAGTATATATAACCCTAACCCTAACCATATATATGGTGACAATCAACTGGTCCCTATATGGTAAAGTTATGTTCTTTGAGTTGGGGTTAGGTTTAGGACTAAGGTGTGAATTCAGTTTAGGGTTAGGATTAGTTACATCTTGGTAATAGTTAGGGTTAGGATAAGGGTAAGGGTCTGGGTTAGGCCATATAAAATTAATGCAAGTCAATGAAATGTCCCCATGTGTCATGAAAACAAAACTGTGTGTGTGTGTGTGTGTGTGTGTATGGTAGATTCAGTGTTTATTTCAGCTGAGTGGAATTATTTTAGCTTGCAGTAATTGAAAACCTAGAGTTTAACTCCAATTAATGTTTATATTTTACACAGTATGAAATAAAACTTTATTTATTTTGTACCGTAAAGTATAGATACAATTATAAATGGAAGAATTACTCCTGACTCCCTTTGTATTCATCAAATATATCACCAAATCACCAAATATAATTAAGTCAGCATCTCCATAATGTTTTCAAGGAACGGGAAGCACTCTTATTTTTCCTAGTCGATGGCTGGGCTAAATTTGGATTAAGGAAACTTCCCGCTGGACTTCAGGCAACATAAATGCTCTACTTTTCTAAACTTTCTCTAGTGCAAGGATGTCAAAGTCATTTTGATTTCGGACCATATCAAGATCATAAATGACCACAAAGGGATGCTTGAGCCATAACATATTGTTTAAACCCATCAACAAATTTACTAAATAGCTTTCTCTGCATTCAGTGAGAAATTCTTTTCACCGCAATGTATTTTGGCAGACTACACTTAAAAACTGCATCAATCTGTTTTATGTGGCCCTTAACAGAAAAACCTTGTGTTTGACACCCCTGCTCTAGTGTTTGGCAACTTGTTTCAAAACATTCTTTTTTTTTAGATTTTAAACAAAGGGCTTTGGGTTTTACTCCTTAGATCAGGTAAGACTTGTGTCTCTTGCTGTCCCCGCTTTAGAACAGGCTTAGCTCAAGAAATGGGTCAGTCATATAAAAGTGCTGAAAACTTTTGTTTGCGGTGCAGAGATGTCAAAGTACTCACATACTTAACCATAAGTATGATTGCTGTCTGAAAAAATAAATAAATTCTGGTAAAAGTTAAAGCACTGATTGAATTTCTTACTACACAGGTAAAAGTAAAAAAGTATAGGTTCTTATTTTACCTAAGTTCAAAAGTAGGAACTGTTATCGCTTAATTTTCCTATTTGTTCACCGTGTTGGTAGAGAAACATAAACAAAATTGACTCAGTCCAGTTTTGTTTTAAACTAAAATTTCAGGCAGGATAAAAGAGATTAACAGACGTTAACAGACGTCTTCCTCAATATTGATCTATGTGGGATTGTGTGGATTTGTATGAGTGATATTGTCTGAACTAATTAGAAATACATTTTCTTATGAGGACAGTAAATTATCTATCTCATTAGGCCAAAAATTAACCCTAATACACTGCTCAAAAAAATAAAGGGAACATCACAATATAACTTCAACTAAATAAAACGACTTTGTGATCAAACTGTCCACTTAGGAGGCCGCATTTATTGCCTAACTAGGAACTCAATAAAGTAGTAGTCCTGCAGGTGGGGACCACAGACCACTTCTCAGCAACTTCTCAGTCTCTTTTGAATGTTGGTGGTGCTTTCATGCTTGTGGTAGCATGAGGCAGGCTCTACAACCCACACAGTTGGCTCATGTAGTGCGGCTCATCCAGGATGCCAATCAATGTGAGCTGTGGCAAGAAGGTTTGCTGTCTGTCAGCGTTGTGTTCAGAGGGTAGAGGCACTATCAGGAGACAGGTCAGTTCACCAGGAGACGTGGAGGAAGACGTAAGATGGCAAAACCCAGCAGCAGGACCGCTACCTCTGCCTTTGTGCAAGGAGAAACAGGAGGAGCACTGCCAGAGCCCCACAAAATGACCCCTAGCAGGCCACAAATAGGCATGAGTCTGCACAAACGGTTAGAACCGACTCCATGAGGATGGTATGAGGGCTCAACATCCACAGAAGGGGGTTTGTGGTCACAGCCCAACACCATTCAGGATGCTTGGCATTTGCCAGAGAACAGCAGGATTGGAATATTTGCCACTGGTTCTCTACAGATGAAAGCGGGTTCACATTGAGCACATGTGACAGACGTTACAGAGTCTGGATACACTGTCGAGAGCGATCTGCCTCCAACATCTTTCATCATGACCAGTTTAGCAGTGGGTCAGTAATGTTGTGGGGTGGCCTTTCTTTGGAGGGTAGCACAGCCCTCCATGTGCATTAGGTACCAAAATTAGATCCTCAGCCTTGTGAGACCATATGCTGGTGTGGTTGGCTGTGGGTTCCTCCTAATGCAGTACAATGCTAGACCTCATGTGCTTAGAGTGTGTCAGCATATTAAGCCATTTAAACTATGGAGTGGCCCGCCCCTTCCCCAGACCTGAATCCAATTAAGCACATCTGGGAAATCATGTCTCGATCCATCCACCAACATTACAATGCACCACTGACTGTTTATGAGTTGGCAGATGCTTTAGTCCAGGTCTGGGACGAGATCCCTCTAGAGACCATCTGCCACCTCATCAGAAGCATGCCCAGGAATTGTAGAGAGGTCATATAATACAACACTGAGCCTCATTTTACCTGTTTTAAGAACATTACATGAAAGGTAAATCAGCCTGTAGTGTGTTTTTCCACTCTGATTTTGTGTGTAACTCCAAATCCAGGCCTCCATTTTTTAATACTGTACATTTGATTTCCATTGATGATTGTTTTGTCATTTTTGTTGTCAGCACATTCAGCTTTATAAAGAATAGCGTATTCAATGAATGTTTGTTAAATATTTAATTCATTGAGATCAAGGATGTGTTATTTGAGTGTTCCCTTTATTTTTTGAACAGTGTATTATTCTTTCTTGGTTGCATTTAATCTTCAGATTTGCTCATTTTCACATGTTTTCACCAGCACTAAATCATAATGATCATTGATGGAAATCCTTAATATAGGTCATTGTGTGTGATGCATTGTAATGGTTTAATGTTTTGAATAACTTTGCTGAAGAAAAAAGACACCAAAGAAAGCCATTTTCCCCTTTTCCACATGTGGTTAAGATCAAGATTTAGTATTAAGCAAATCTGGGTTAGTTCACATTGGCTAAATAAACTATACTCAGCTTGAGCTTTGACTTTTCAGGCCAGTGAGATCATAATTGGGTTTCTTTGTTCCACTTTTGGTCAGTTACAACTGCATCATCTAGACACTTTGCTATGCTCGCAGCTTTAAGTGGAACAAGCCATCAATGTGATTGTGTAGATCTCTAAGAAAAAAAGCCCATAGCTACAAAGCAGAAACATTTTATTTTTAAAAGCTTTAAAATATCAAAACTTGCATTTCATGTTTCCTGTTTACTAATGCAGGAACCAAGAAATACAGCAAGAGGAAAGGGTTGCCTATCAGAATAGATTGTGTCAAGATAAAGACCTTGGAAAAGCAAACTCTAGCAGTGAATGCCCCCTGAAAGCACTGAGGTCCCCCGTTACTTAAAAAGGAAAATCAAGTAGACCCCTCCCTATATCAGGTTGATCCAGCAAACTGCATTATTACAGAGGAAAGGTGCACACTTAGCAACATAATGATCATTAAACAGTGAAGCTCTACTGTTGCATCAGTGCATAGAAAAAGCAAAAGTCAACCCTAATTGGCTTTATGGTAGAATGTCTAATAAAAAAGGCAGCTAGCTCAATTTTGACCAAAACAAGTTTTAGAAATGGTCAGACGTGAAAAAAATCCCCAACAAATTTCATAAAACATAAGTTCATAAACAGAAGTTTAGACCGAAACCCCAAGCAAGTCAATAGAAAGCAAAGTTTAGCACAATGGTGACATGATCACGCACAGAGCCTTTTTTCTGTGGCAGGTAGTGGATGATTTTCCTCCATTAACTGCCACAGACACATGGCAGCAGTCAAATATGTAGAAAGTCCTCATGAAAACTTGCTTAACAATGCTGAAAAAAGGCTCAAAGCACAAACCAACTCAAAAAAAGCATCAGTTTAATCAAAAGTCTGTGAATTTCCTTAGGCGGGTAGTCAAAGCTCAGACAATCTAATTTAACATAACTGAAAATACCTAAAAATGTCTTTCTGTGTCATATATGCAGACAACAATGGCAGAAGTAATCCAAATCACATGTCTTGTAGTAGAGACAAGTGTTCAGAAGACCTCTGGTTGTGTTTGCTGCAAATTGTGCAGCTACAAAATAGCAAGCGAACACATATGAAGTAGTAGAATAACATGATTTTGGCATTGATATTTGCACATCTTTCTAATAGCTGTTTTGACTTATTAAAGGTGTGTAGATCCCTAAGAAAAATAAAAAAAATATACTCTCCTATAAATCTGTAATGTGTGAATAGGACATGAATACTCTCTGGTGGCGGTGCACTGAGATGCACCTGTAGAGGATGCATCCACACAGAAAGATTCAGCAGCAACAACCACTGGCTTTCCTTTTAGAAGTACCATTTCCTCTGAGGAAATGGCTTTTTAAATGTGCACCTAACCAGTAAGACTGACTAAAAAGCTCATCATGTCACTTTTTGTTCCTTTTTTGCAGTCCTCCATGTCTGAGAATCCAGAAAATTCCACATCCATTGAAGATTTGGATTACTCAATCCCCTCCCAAGATTACTCTGACTTTCCTACACTTTGCGACAAAGAACAAAACCGAATCTTTCGCCGCTGGTTTATGCCATTGTGCTACACCATCATCTGCTTGCTTGGGGTGGCCGGAAACCTGCTGGTCATTGCCACTGTCTTCTACTTCAAGCGTCTCAAGAACATGACGGATGTCTACCTGCTGAACTTGTCCTTCGCTGACCTGCTCTTTTCCTTCTCGCTCCCCTTCTGGGCAGCCAACTCTATGGCAGATTGGGTGCTGGGGCTTTTTTTGTGCAAAGCAATGCACACAGTCTACAAGGTCAGCTTCTACAGCAGCATGTTCCTCCTCTCACTCATCAGCATTGATCGCTACTTTGCCATCGCCAAGGCCGTTTCCACCCATGGCCTTCGCTCAAAGGCTGTCTTTCTGAGCAAGCTGTCCTCCACTGCAAGCTGGGTGATAGCGGTGATCTGCTCCTTTCCGGAAATGGTGTACACCAACATCAACAACAACACCTGCTCTCCATTTTCCAACACCAGTGACCATCTCCGAGTTGGTTTCCAGTCCAGTCAGATTGTTTTGGGTTTCTTTGTTCCACTTCTGATCATGGGCTTCTGTTACAGCTGCATCATCCAGACGCTCTGCCATGCTCGCAGCTTTGAACGGAACAAGGCCATCAAGGTTATTCTTACCATTGTAGTTGTCTTCCTAGGCTCCCAGGTGCCTTACAACATTGTCCTTTTCTGGACAACAATTGTATTAGGAGAAGGGGGGACAGATAACTGCCGATATGACAATAGCCTTCTCTTTGCTACCGACATCACGCAGTATGTGGCCTTTCTGAGGTGCTGCCTGAACCCTTTCGTCTATGCCTTTATCGGCATAAAATTTCGGCATGACGTACTGAAGCTGCTGAAGGACTTTGGCTGCATGAGCCAAGAGAGGTTCTACAGATATACCTCCAATCGGAGGAGGAGCTCTGCAGGGCTTGACACAGAGACCACCAACTCTTTCGCTCCTAAAAGTTTCAACCCATTAGCCAAAGAACTTACAATGGACTAATGCAAACAGTTCTATCAAATCCTACTAGCTTGCCGTGTACATAGCAGAAATTATATAATTGCATTTTGTGTGAGCTATGCTGGCTGTTATAAATTTCATTTGTAACTTTTCTGTTTTTTAAGTGAATAAATTGTTTTTTCACTGTTTACCTGCTTTTTTTTAGTGCATTTACAATAGGAGGTGAACCAAAATTACTTCCACTACAGATGCTAATAAATCAAATACTAATGCTTACCAAAAACGGTAATTGAAATAAACATCCATCCATCCATCTGTCTTCTGCCGCTTATTCATACAGACAGACATACAGCCTTACCCCCCCCCCCCCCCCCCACACACACACACACACACACCCATACATACACACACACATAAGGACACTTTGGAGAAGCACCTTTACCTCACAATAATGTTTTGAGTTTGTGGGAGGAAGCTGTACCTGGAGAGAATCCATTCATGCGCATGTCGACCTTTTTGCTGTAAGAAAATAGTGCTACAAACTGAAAGACTCTCAACTCTCAACCATACTGGTTCATGTCCAGAAAACATATAAATAGCTAGTGAAAAGACCCGTAATAAAGCAAATATCCGAAAGATGTCTATGTATTTATTATTTTTTCATTTATTTATTTTTTTAACAGTGTCCTGCCTGGTTATGTGGCAATAAGAATAATTGTCTTGATGCCAAAAAGAGCCCAACAAATTTTACTTTCAGAAGTGTAGCAGTATGGTTATCGCCAGTGTTCCATATAAATTGCTTTATTATAACTATGCAGGGAGTTTTACAGATTATATGGACACTGCAATGTAGGTAAAACAGGAAATAAAAATCAGAAAAAAAGATAAAAGATGAAAGAAAGAGGAGATAAAAGGGAGATAATGATAAAACATTTTCAGTTTCTGCTTCATCACCTGCAATTTGATGTAAAAAAACAGCACAACCAACTGACATTTTACGAGATATACATACAATAAAGTAACACCTAGATACTATCGCTGAAGCATAAGTAGTATTATTTAATCTGACATCTATACTGTGATATATGTAGATAAGAATATTGGCTTTCTGTATGGAAGTGAATCTCTAAGTACCTGGAACCAAGCACGATTAGTTGCTTATGTTAAGTTTATCCAAAGAAAAAATGCTCAATAGTGGTTGTGTAAGGCTGAAGAGACCCCCCCCCCCACCCCCTCTAAACTAATTCACCCAGCCACTTCCTCCCCTCAACTGCTACACGCCCCAGCAGCCCCCCGCCAAGACCAGGGACCAGGCAGCTCGCTCTTCCTACAGGCCCCAGACTCCGGGTGGCAGCCGGAGAACAGGGGTGTGAAAAGACCCTAATCCTCCCTACGCCTGCTCAAATGTGGTTTTGTTGCGTGTTGCTCTCAGGAGTTATTAAAACTGGGAGTAGCAAAAGGGGGTGTCCAGCACAGTCCTTCCCCCCTCTGGAAGAAAGGCGGTCAATATAAGTGCAGGAAAAATTTAATCCAACACTATTGCAATTGATAAAGGAAATCTCAAACTCTACAGAAAATAAAAGATATAGAATATTTTAAGGAATATTTATAGACTTGAATTATAGTGAGTTAAGTAGGAAACTGGCCAGCAATAGCAATGCAAAAGCCCCCCAGGAGCCGTGGGGGCGAGCCCACGGGCTCTGCCGGCAGCAAGCCACCCTGAATTGTAACCAGACACGGGCCCCAGGGACCAAAGACCCCATGGGCGCCTCGACTGAGCCTAGGTGGCCAGAATCAGAGAAGCAGCTGCAAGGGGCATCCACCCCCAAACATAGAGCACCACCAGTGTTCAACCATCCCATCAAAACCACAAAGGTTTTGATGGGATGGTTGATTTTGCTCTCAGTTTAAAATAGAAAAACAAGAAGGTTCAGATTTCAGAGCCGACTTTATGCTCACCACTGGGTGTTGATCTCTTATATAAGAAAACAAACAAATAAAATATATGGATATGTGTGGCTGTGACATGAATTTTTAAATGGTCTGCATACCTCTTCCAAGGTGAATTTAAGATAATTTCAACACTTCCTTTGCAAGACTGAGATACGCAGCAGGACATTTTTCTAGGCCTGCATTCCTGTCCCTGAAAGTTATCTCATAAAAACGTCTGAGAGGATACATTGTGATTCTTTAAAGACAAGATTGGCTCACCTCTCACCTCTATTGCCAGCTTTATCTAAAGTCAGATAAAGGTGCACGGAAGCAGACAGATGGTACTCACAGGAAATCACTCGTGTAAGGTGGAGTCGTACTGTTTAAGTTTATTGTGGTTTAGGGTAACACTTTACCAATTTGAATAAAGTCTTTTCTTAGCTTTACTCAGTATCTGCTAAGTAGAATTTTCCTGTTTGAAAATATTTTGAGGTTTAGGTTTGCTGAAAAAGGTTCTGTGGTTTTAAGTTTACTTCTTTAAATGAGATGCTGGCATTTTTATTTAGCATTTCCCTTTCTGCAGCAGCAGGATATTAGAATACTGAGTCTTATCATTATTGGGGGGCCACATGCCGAAGGCATGGCCCACCTATTACTATTGCACATATTTATTAGGGGGGCCACATGCCGAAGGCATGGCCCACCTATTACTATTGCACATATTTATTAGGGGGGCCACATGCCGAAGGCATGGCCCACCTACTACTATTGCACATATTTATTCCGCGTATTATTAGGGGGGCCACATGCCGAAGGCATGGCCCACCTACTACTATTGCACATATTTATTCCGCGTATTATTAGGGGGGCCACATGCCGAAGGCATGGCCCACCTACTACTATTGCACATATTTATTCCGCGTATTATTAGGGGGGCCACATGCCGAAGGCATGGCCCACCTACTACTATCTCACATATTTATTCCGCGTATTATTAGGGGGGCCACATGCCGAAGGCATGGCCCACCTACTACTATCTCACATATTTATTCCGCGTATTATTAGGGGGGCCACATGCCGAAGGCATGGCCCACCTACTACTATTGCACATATTTATTCTGCGTATTATTAGGGGGGCCACATGCCGAAGGCATGGCCCACCTACTACTATTGCACATATTTATTCCGCGTATTATTATTAGGGGGGCCACATGCCGAAGGCATGGCCCACCTATTACTATTGCACATATTTATTCCGCGTATTATTAGGGGGGCCACATGCCGAAGGCATGGCCCACCTATTACTATTGCACATATTTATTCCGCGTATTATTAGGGGGGCCACATGCCGAAGGCATGGCCCACCTATTACTATTGCACATATTTATTCCGCGTATTATTATTAGGGGGGCCACATGCCGAAGGCATGGCCCACCTATTACTATTGCACATATTTATTCCGCGTATTATTATTAGGGGGGCCACATGCCGAAGGCATGGCCCACCTATTACTATTGCACATATTTATTCCGCGTATTATTATTATAGCTTATAGTTCTCCTCGTCCCCTAAAAACTTCGGCGTGTAACTAGTCACGCACCATTCGTCGGATCGGGCCCAAAGTTGGCACACGCGTAGGGACCAATGGTGCGATGCGTGCTTGTATAAAACTTTCTCATTAGTCCGAAGGTTTGCGAATTATTAGCGAAAACGTCGCAAAAAAAATCCCATAGGAAATGAATGGGGAGAGGGAAAAAAAGCATAAAAAACAGCACCTCACTGTGTCGGCATACATTCATGTAGAAAAACAGTTTAAAGCTCAGTTTGTAGATAAATCCTTCGTCTATTTAAAACTGAAGACGGTATGTTGATAACTGCTACGGTTTTTGTATAATCAGACCTCAAGCGCCACAAAGTTTTAGCAAAATCCACCCTTCTAGAGTGGAGAGACTGAAAAGCTAGAGTGTGAGGCAGCCGTTTTTTTAAGACCAAAAAACATTTTAAAATCGCCCTCACGGCCACATATTTATAGCTAGAGTCACCATTTTTGGTCAGTTTGTAGGCTGAAACCTCTGGACTCACACAATGTCTTCAGAATTACGGTAGGATTAATACTTTTCCTTAAAAACGCTCCAGACCGACCTAAAGTCGATGAAAATCAGAGCCGTTTTTCATTGGTTTTGGAGCAGCAGTGGGGAGAAAAACGAATGACATTATATGTTTTCAACTCGTCATAAATATTTTTCTGAAAGACACACATACACCAAAGTTGGCATAGTTGGAGTCGAAGGATGGCTGACGCTCACGGTGAAAGAATTTTTTGAATAACTCATACGGTTTTTGCTCAGCAGTCGTTTGTTCGGAGGACATTTTAAGCACCAGAAAGCTGGGTGAGAGGGACCTGCTGCAGCTAGCTCAATTAAAAGATCAGGTGTGAGAAAACGTTTTGTCTTTTTCTTTCTCTTCCCATTCAGGTTGTAGATGACCTACAGCCATGAAAGTTACTCCAATTGAAGACAAGATATAGCTGTCGCTTAGATAAAAATAATTTTTCAGATATCATTTATGGTTTTTACTCAGCAGTCATTTGTTCGGAGGGGGGCTTTAGCAGCTTAAAGGTGAGTGAAAGTGTGTTGCTGCAGCTAGCTCAGTTAGAAGCTAAGGACTGAGGACCCGTTTTTCTTATTCTTTCTCTTCCCATTCAGGTTGTAGATGACCTACAGCCATGAAAGTTACTCCAATTGAAGACAAGATATAGCTTTAGCTTAGATAAAAATAATTTTTCAGATACCTTTTACGGTTTTTACTCAGCAGTCGTTTGTTCGGAGGGGTGCTATAGCAGCTTAAAGATGACAGAGTGTGGTGCTGCAGTTTAAACAAAGGGAGGAGCAGGTGGGATCAGCCATTTTGTTTGTGCTTCGTTTTGGGTTGTGAAAGACCTACAGACATGAAGGTTACCCCAGTCTGAGACAAAGGATAGATGTTTCTTTCACTGAAAGAATTTTTCTAATACCTTTTACGGTTTTTGCTCAGCAGTCGTTTGTTCGGAGGGGTGCTATAGCAGCTTAAAGGTGACAGAGTGTGGTGCTGCAGTTTAAACAAAGGGAGGAGCTGGTGGGATCAGCCATTTTGTTTGTGCTTCGTTTTGGGTTGTGAAAGACCTACAGACATGAAGGTTACTCTAATTGAAGTAAAGATATAGCTGTAGCTTAGATAAAAATAATTTTTCAGATATCATTTATGGTTTTTACTCAGCAGTCCTTTGTTCGGAGGGGGGCTTTAGCAGCTTAAAGGTGAGTGAGAGTGTGTTGCTGCAGCTAGCTCAGTTAGAAGCTAAGGACTGAGGACCCGTTTTTTCTTATTCTTTCTCTTCCCATTCAGGTTGTAGATGACCTACAGCCATGAAAGTTACTCCAATTGAAGACAAGATATAGCTTTAGCTTAGATAAAAATAATTTTTCAGATACCTTTTACGGTTTTTACTCAGCTGTCGTTTGTTCGGAGGGGTGCTATAGCAGCTTAAAGGTGACAGAGTGTGGTGCTGCAGTTTAAACAAAGGGAGGAGCAGGTGGGATCAGCCATTTTGTTTGTGCTTCGTTTTGGGTTGTGAAAGACCTACAGACATGAAGGTTACCCCAGTCTGAGACAAAGGATAGATGTTGCTTTCACTGAAAGAATTTTTCTAATACCTATTACGGTTTTTGCTCAGCAGTCGTTTGTTCAGCAGCTGTTCCTCCCATTCAAAAAAGCCTGAGAGCTAAGGAACGATAGTGCTGCGCTTTTCTCTCTGTCACTGACAGGCTCGTTAAGCGTTGTCAAGGTAACCGTGCTTCAAAGAGATTTTACCTCTGCTGTTTTAAACAGCACATATTAATCCAATGGAGGGTGAAAGCACTGATTTAACATTGGAAAATGGACACTATATGACTGCTGTCCATGACACTTCCCTTGCCACTCAACACTGATAGACTTTCAAAATAAGACTCCAGGGACCCTACAAAATAAAAGCCTCTATATTTTTTACATATATTTATTGCCCTATATGGCTCAACATTATGACCCAAACTCAACCCCATTTTAGAGAATAGACTCTAGGAGACTGTTTAAAACACACCCTATGGCAAATTTCAAAATAAAAGCCTCCCATTTCCGCTTCATCTACTGCCCTAATAACATGGAAAAAGAGTGATTTAACGATTGGAAAGTCATCAACTATGATTGCTGGGTCTGAACATTTTCTCTAAACACAACTCTGTTGGACTTTCAAAATAAGACTCCAGGGACCCTACAAAATAAAAGCCTCTAGATTATACTAATGCAATAATTGATGCAAATGGCTCAACATTATGACCCAAACTCTTCCAGGTTGTTTTTATTAGACTCTAGTGACCTTTTCAAAACACACCCCAGAGCAAATTTCACAATAAAAGTCTCCCATTTACTCTGTAATACAGCAGCTATTCACCTAATAACATGGAAAACCAGTGATTTAACATTTGGAAATGGATTCTATATCACTGCTGGGCATGACCCCTCTTTTGATGCACATCCATGATAGACTTTCAAAATAAGACTACAGGGACTCTACAGAATAAAAGCCTCTTCCTTATACACACTCATACATTCTGGCATATTGCTCATAGCCATTTGTAATTTCATCACTGCAATGGCTCTGAGCATGCGGGCGGAGCCCGCCATTGGTGATTTCATCACTGCAATGGCTCTTAGAAGGCGGGCGAAGCCCGCCAATGGTGATTTCATCACTGCAATGGCTCTTAGCAGGCGGGCAGAGCCCGCCATTGGTGATTCTTTTCATCGCTGCAAGGGCTCCTAGCAGGCGGGCAGAGCCCGCCAACTGCGCTTTACCCACTGCGGTTCAATATGGACAACCCATATTACCCTTGTGCATCATATGCTGTGCACGTCTATTTCCCAGATTTCAGTACAAGTGGCACACAGCTCTCTTTGCCCATGACCTAGCCCTCTTTGCTTCCCTCAGCAGCCCTCAAAGGCGTAAGCAGCCCCAACGTCACTTGCCAGGGCCGTATTGGCCCAGTTACCCAGACGGGCAGTAGGTGGCCCCCCTCAAAATTTCTTTAGAAATTTTCTAGTTATAATTATAATTGTTAAAAAATGAAGAGCAATATTAAAGAAAAATGTTTCACAGCTGGAGCTGCATAGGTGTGTTTTATATATTATTTCAAAGAACTATTAAAAAATAATATTGCACATTTTTTCAAAGAGCTTTTTAGAAAGGATGGATTGATATAAAATATACTGGAACGGAAAGCAAGCAGGATTCTTAAAATTCCGAAATGTTTAATGAAAAGGTGATGTATCGGGTTTAAATGAGGACCTGGGTGGAGACTGGAGAACAGAGTGACTTTTATTTCAGAAGAGCAAATCCCAACAGGCCACAAGTTGGATAAGCTCAAACCAGGAATCCAGAATGGATGACGCAGGAACTGAACCTTGCGCAGGACAAAACATGAACTGAGACAAAGCATGACCTAACAAAAAGGGCAAAGTATAAACTGGTGGGAGTGACTGCAAAATGGAAGGGTGTGGTAACTTACAGGAAAGAGAAGGGAACAGAGGAACCCAGGAAACTGGCCACGAAAAAAAAAAAAAAGGAAATCTAAACATGTTCTACTCATAGAAGTTAAGTAACACTAGACATCAAATCAACATAATTGAAAGGCTTTGGACTTTTTACATTTTATCCAATTAGAATCACAACTAAAAGTGCTTCATTTTGGATTTTATGTTAGAGAAATATACAAACTTAAGAGTTCCACAATTCCTTTATATATATTTCAGATTTCTTCAAACATTTGTAATCATATTCCTTAACTCTTTAAAAAACAAAACAAAAGAAAAACTCATGAAGAACAAGGCAGACACAGCAGACAGATCAAGGATAAAGTGATGAAGAGTTCAATATAGAATAATGTAATCAATAATGGACACTAGGCAATAATAAATGGAAATCATGAAATTGCAAACCTACCAAGGAAATTATTTATTCACCTACTGGTGAGGTTTATAAAAGACCAAAATATAGATGTGAACGGTAATGAAAATGAGCAGCCGTTTTGATGAATAATAAACAAACATAACTTATAGAGGAATCACAGTTGGATTTGGAGCAAAGGCAACACCGAAGGAAATTAAAAAGCTGAGAGCTATTATGGAAAAATTGGAAAAGGATATTTGTTCCAGGGGAGTAAATGATGGAAATTTGGAAAAAAAAAATAGGCAAAGAATAGAAGGAGAGACTAACAAAAGGGAAATGTGAAGTCTGTTAGAAATTGGAGACGGAGACACAGCAGACTGCAAGAAACAAAGCTTCCTTTTAATTTAAACACTTACAGCTCACAGTTACATAGAATCTGTCATATAGCTCTGACTGGTGTGGCTGATTCCCTCCTACATATAGATCACCTTCGCGGGTAAAAGAGGTTACAAAACATAAAAAAAAACTCTTTTGCACAATACAATGGTTTCCACAGAACTGACTTCTTGAGGTATTTTATAGTAACTCTTTTACCACTAAATTTGCTTGTTACTGTTTAAACACCTATTTTAAAATGACTGTCCCCAACTTCTGCACAGATGTTTATCCTGTTAAGAAACTCTAAGTTTCTGCAAGGTCTGCAAAAAAGATATAAGTTGGACACATAATTTTAACTTTACACAAACAATCAACAACTAAGAGCTGAAAGAGATAGAAAGCAACTAAAAACCGAGGAGGAAAAGTCTTACTGCAGTGTCTGAGAATAAATAAAGAATCCCAACAAGCAGAAAACATGTACTAAAAAACTCAACAGAAGGATTGAACAGAATGGAAAACCCTTGTGATCATAATACCATATTGAATATGGAAATAACGATAAAGAAATTTGTACGTGTGAAACAACTGAATGGTTCACAGGGAGGGAGCCAAAGAGCTCAACAGCTAAACCTTTTGGCCCACGTGCAAATTGTTTTGTAAAAAAAAAAAAAAAAAAAAAAACCCTAATAACACTAACGCTATCACCCTAAACATGCCATTTCCTAAACAGAAGCAGATGCGGGAAGCTCCACTTCAGCATGGACTGAGAGCTGGAACTGTTTTGGAAGGAAGAATGGAAAAAAGAATCCTTCCGTTTGTACAGGTGCATGTTAAAGACATATTCCAAAACATTCACAGCAGCAAAGAAAAGTCTTTTTTTTTTTTTTTTATCAACTTTTGATTAAAAAAAAAAAGACAGGCTTTTCAGTGTAGGCTTTTTCAGATAAAGCTTCCTGGATGGGAAACGAAACGTCTTGGATACAATTTGGAAACAAATCTTCTTTGGAAGATTTTTCCAGATAGTTTTTCTCTTCATACAACAACACAGTATTTTATATGGATTAGGTAAAAGAGTGGCTTAAGAAGACATGTGCTGTGAAAAGGTGCTTCATAAACATGGATTCTTGTTTAGACAATTGGAGAAATGGTCCAATGATGAGCTTTAAAGAACAAAACGGATATAAAGGCTGCAATTAGCTGTTGCACCTCAGCTGATTCATGATGCACTAACTGTGTGAAGACCTGATTTAACAACATTTCTTCACTATGATGAAATGTAAAAAAGAAGATGAATCAGAGTAGGCACCAAGTTTTTAAATAGTCTAGAATTAAACTGTGCTGTTGGGTTTCCATCTAGGAAAGTTTCTTAAGTAATTAAGGAAAGTAAAAAATGGAAACAATGACAACTTTCACTAGAAGAAACTATAAATACTGTAACAAATTTTAATATACATTGTTTACCTTTTGACTGTCATTATATAATCTTGTATAAACACTATTTCTGCTGTTTCAAAAAACTCAGGGTGGCTGAGAATGTAAAAATTGGCTGACATTAAAAGCAAAAATCAGATTTTTTTTGTGTGTGACATCTGCCTCTTGGACAAAAAAAAAGTAGAAAAGAGGCAGTTTGTGTCTTAAACTGTCATTAAATAAAGGATTAAGATCATCTGGCTGGTGTTACAAATTCACCATGTCCAAAACAATTGTAAAAAACATTGGTTTAGTTATGAGTATTCTGATTTTGATGTTGGGAAAAGAGAGAAAAAAAAAGCACTCGAGTCATACATTCAGCTCTAGTAATACGATATCATTAGCTTGAAAGGCAGGGAGCACTGAGCCAGGATGCTGATAGGCTCCCAGGAGAAAAAGGGTTGGGATTATATTAATAAAAGCATGGAACAGGAGACGCAGGAGGTTTACCAGAGAAAGTAACTGCAGAGACCTGAGTAAAGGAATTCAAGGTAGGATAAGTTTTATGATGGATTTATGTTGGTGTGTATTGAAATGGAAGATTTCCTTTTATACGATAAATTACAGATATGATAACTACAGCTTTAAGAGGCAGAAATTAACTCAATCATCAATGATGAGTAAAAATTTAAGGAACGGAGATATGGTAGGAAAAGGAATGCAAAAAAGGTTAATGTTTTATTCATAAAAAAAACCCTCCAAGTATCAAATATTTGCTGTCAATGTGATTTTGGCACCAAAATAGACTTTCTCTTTAGTGTTTTTCAAACCAAAAGACAAATGAACACATAAATACATAAAATTCTTGGTCTAGCATAAAAAAGCTGAATTCCTGGAGGGCTGTGAACTTATAGCTTTATGTATGCACTTGTCTAAGACAGAAAAAAGTACTTATAGTTAATGAAGTTTAAATACTCAGTTGTCCTCCACCTTTTAAACCACACTTATTAACACTGAACTATTGCAAGGTAAACATTTATGTAGCCATGGCAACAACCACTAACCTGTGTTACTTACCCAGTGCCACGCCCTGTCTGAAGTGCCTGGCAAGCAGCGTCTAAGGGAGTGGATCCTCTGTGAGATTTCACCATCTGAATGCCTCACCCCCACAGCATGTAATTACTCATTTAATAACTTTATACAACAGATGACAAACATGTTCCTCGAGGCCTTACTTACTGAGACCTGATTCCTGCCAGCCAATGGTAAAAAACAGTGATTGCAGCTGTGTGACACATGTTGTCAACATGGTTGAAAGGAAGTCCAAAAGTCACATAATTTGTACCTAAGAGCAAGAAGACTAATCGTATAATAGGCTCTAAACACCTGTTTTCCCTTCATTTGTTAATTGGGGAGACATGATTGCATTTAGGTTGATGGAAAACTTTTTTTGCACAGTTTAGTCAACAATGGCTTCTCAGATATTGCTTTAATCTTTGCATTTCAACAGTTTCAGGAGAAATTTAGTGTAAATTGCTAGAATGGGCTTATTGTGGTCAGTTTATGCACCTTTTCTGAAATCCACACAGGGTGAGGTGTATTTGGGGAGGTTGATCCATGCGTCCTTTTTCTTTTGTGATTAAAGGTGCATTTCAGTTATCATAAATATGTAATTAATCAGTAACTTAATTAAAGTTAATTTTGCCTGTTGAATATATTTTAAGAAACAGTATTATATTCCATCTCATTGTTTGTATTCCTTTAGATAAAAATGATTTAAAACTCATTAAAACCGAATTATGGAAGAAAAATTAGAAAATGGCTTAACAAAAAAACTTTTTCGCCCACTAAAACTGCCTCATTCCTGATTTGCTTCTTTAAAAGCAGCATGACATGGTGGTGATCAGCCCATTGCTCTACTAAGTGATTTAGAAACTCATATAGAGTCTCTGTTAGCTTCAAATCAGCTGAAATTAATGCCCAGTCAGCAGTTGCCATGGTTACATTGGCAGTAAAATATTCAGATCAAGACATTTTCCATTTTTAAAATCCTCCATAAAAAAAAAAAAGTAAATTCTGGATTTTCATACACAGTAAGCCAAAAGAATCCAAATAAATATAAATAAACCCCTTGAAATAGATCAATATGTAAGTAACCTATACTATATATGGGAGGCTTTATAAAATATTATGTTTTATAACGATGCATCTATAGCTCAGAAGTAAAGAGAGTTGATAGGTGACTTGCAATTAATGGATTATCTAAATAATGTCACAATGGAGAGAATTTGGCATTCTAAGCAGTGTTGTTAAAGCCTGAATCAGTGGTCCAAGAAAATGTATTGAATAAAAGCCACTGAAATAATGTTTTTTTTTGTTCTTTTGTTGTTGTTGTAGATTTAGAAGAAAGTGATCCCTCCCACTCCGATGCCTACCGCTGAAGGCATGTCCCAAGTGATACCCTGCCATGTTCTGAGAGTGGGTCAAACCATCTGTGTTGACTCTTCGCAGGAAAATGTCCCTCATCCACCAGATCTCTCAAAGCCAAACTGTCAACTTGATGACTGTGATCTTGATATGACCCTGGACAATCTCAATCAGCTAATGCTGGACCTTGATCCTACTTTTGAACCAATCCAGGTTAACAAGAGCCCCACTTGCCCGACCCCCCAAACAGGTAAATGATGTTTCTCTCTGCTTAAGTAAGAATGAAATCCTATGTTTCTTAAGGCCATGAGAGTTTATCTGTATAGCCCATGTAAGGAACAGTACAATGCATAATGTTTTCCATGGTGAAAACATGAAACAAGAAATAAAATATAAATTCTATTGGTCTAACAAAGCAAAGTAGACAGGGGCTGGATACAGACAGGGTTAAGTACAGTAACTGGTTTAAATATAAACCATTTTCCTGACAAAGATCTCATACTTGTTAAAGCTATCTTAAGGAACCAGGGACTGGTGTTACTTCTATAAGAAGCTGCACTAGAAAAATGTTTCTTATCTGTTTTGTTTTTTTCTGTTACCTAGCAGCTCATAGATTTTATAGCATTTGTAAAAGTATTTCCTGTGAATAATCACAGCCTGGATCCTATGAGCATATAACTTTATTTCTGGAACAACCTACAAACAATGATGCTTGTTGACCTTGATATGCAGCAGATGCTGATTTTGGAAGGCAGCAGAGACTGAGGAGTTTTAGTCATGCTGGTTTAGGGTCAGTGGCTGGAATACAAAAATATGGAAATATGTCATGGAGTTCGCTGGATTCTGATCCTGATAAGGTTTTTTTGTGTGGTCAGTAAAATCCAGGAGATGTGAGTCTGTCATTTTTTCATAGGCGAATAGAAAGTGCAGAGGTGGGTGGGGTCCGAGGAGAAGAAGGTTTCAGGTGCTTCCCTAGGGGTAGAGGCGGTTATAAGGCAGATTCTATCTACTTTGAACATTTTTCAGCACTTCCAGAAAATGACGAAGTTGTTGATAAATTTTACTTATTAGGCCGCACACATCTACATATTAGGAGCTTGAACTTTGTTTAGTAAATAAATGCAGCCCTCTTTCAAGATTTCCTACTGTTGCTTCACAACAACAGTAGGTACTGTATGTATGATCAGGTTTAATCATTATATCATATTATATTTTAAGGTATTTTATTACCTATTATATAACACCCAATATATTTTATTTTATATTGGTCTTTGTCTTATTGCATGTGTTTAACCCCATCCCTGCATCAACCAAGACTGAGATATGGGACATGGCCACTAGTTCTTTCTGAAAACCTTTTAGGCAACTCCTTCTAATTAATTAGAAATTATTTTTTCTTAGAAAAAAAAACTCAACATACACATTCTCAAATGCTATATAAATATTCTATTTAATTTTTGTAGCAGAACTGTGTATCAGGTTCTACAGATGTCAATAAATATCTAGTTGCTAAAATATGTAAAAATAAAGCAAAAAGGGAAGATAAGAGCATTTTTTATTTTTGCTATAAATGAAAGCGGAACTAAAGAAAAAAAATATGTGAAATCAACAAAATAGCATCCATAACACTGAATGTTAGTCGGGAATGCACTGTGTGATATTTCATCAAAGTCATAGGGCCAAAACCAGAACCACAATAACAGGAATAGAGTACGATACAACATTTGGAGTTAATGATAAGCAACTGGATTAAAGTGCACATGATAGTTGAGCATTTCATTATCATTTGACTCCATATTTTATGAAGATATTTTAGCAAAGTAAAATACCGTTTATCACGGTCATTTTACTGGTACCAAATGGAAATATGAGGAATACAGTGGTGTCAGTTTGAATTAGGAAATAATACATAAAAATGGTAAATTGGCAAATCAGTATTTAATGAGTTTACTTTTTGAGTTTTTTTTTTCATGTACCTTGTGCATCGAATCTGCCCGCATCGAAAGCACTCAGTCAGGAACTCTAACCACATAGTCCTAAGTCGGGGTGATACGACGAGGCCTGCGCTTGAAAACTGGCACCATCAGTAACTGTGTGCAAGAGGCAAGAATATACAAAAATGTATTTCCTGCCGCTGCCGCTTTATTGAAAAGATGTTTTGCTTATATGCCTTGAAACTGTTAAGTGAGATAGAGGTGAAAAAGTTTACAGGAAATCAGTATGGGTAAAAGATTTTTAGAATGTATTTTCTCGGATAGCAAAAAAGAGAAGAGAGAATTTGTATGCTATATTGATGAGTTCTCATTTCCCATTTCTTTAACAGATAAACTTGCACAAACATAATGGATTTATTCACATGTATTTATCAGCGCACCCATTTTCTTTTCTTAGTCTTCTTCAGAAAACATACCTTCAGAACGACAAATTCTAAAAACCAACAAGATGTGATAAACTTTTCCATGACTTTAGTTTAATATTAGTCAGTATCTTTGTCACTGATTTGAAAAGACACCCAACTTACTCAAATGCTGACTACATGTAGATGTCAAGGTTTTTTTTTTCTTTTCCTACAGACATTTGTTCACCCTCAGCTCATCAGCAGACACATATTCACCAGTCCAAGAACAAGCCGAGACATCTCTTATTTACTGTTATTGCAAAATAAATACGCCTTGAAGAAGCAATTAGTTTGGAAATGAGAGTCTTTTCTGCATGTTCTGGCATGAGAAATGTGCATGCCTCTCGCAGGGTAGTTTTTATGTTTATAGAAAGAGTTCTGGCTTATGCTGCAAAGAGAAAACGAAAGACGGACATGTTCTAAGCTGTTTGAAGCTTTTCTGTTCTTTAGTTTGAATTTTGGAGATCCTTAAAAGACACCTTAACTGACTCTCCCTTCCATCCTCAGATTCTTTCTGCGCAAAGGACTCAGATGGCCCTTCCCACTGTGTGCTGATTCCCAGAGGATGTCCTCCCAGCTCATCGTCTGCTGTGTCTCCCAGTATCCCCATCCCCACAACCAGCAGCCTGAGATGCAGCCCCAATGGGGCACTTGTTTTCTCCAACTCCCCTACATCCTATTTGCCACCGCTTCCGTTTGGAAGTGCTCCCCGGCGCAACCACTCGCCGAAAAATGACATAGCATGTTCCCCAGGTTCATTGCGCCTATCGAGCTCCACTAGAAACAGTGCTACCTCGCTTCTCTCCATGTCCACATGTTCAGATACAAGCTACATTATGGGCAGGTAAAAATCATGGATAATTTTGTGTATTTTTAAAATTTATTCTCAAACACTGCCAACTACCAAACTATAACTTAAACATTTGTAAAGTGAAAGAACAAAGACATGTGCTTAAGAACTTTTTTTAATCTTAAAAATGTTTTATACATTTAAATACAGCCATCTGAGTCTGAGCTCCACTAGAAGGTCTGTTGACGCTTGTTAAAGATGGAGCTGCTAGGATCTGGAAACATCTGAGCTCCCACTCACCAGACTTCAACCTGCTATAGATAACTTCATGTGACATCTTACATATGGGATACAGGAGGGGTAAACAACTACAAAGTAACAACTTGTTCTGAAAATATATAGATAGGCTTTCTGTAAAATTTGTCTTTGTGCTGAAGTCTTGCATATGGATGCGGTAGTCATGTCTGGGAGGTAGATAAGCCCTCTTTCTATCATATTCCATCAGAAAAAGGACCAAAAAGATATGCATGGGCCCAAGTTTTACGAAGGACCCATGCATGCAAAAATAGCAAAACCTGGAGTCCAAAGTCGAAAGTCAAAATAGACCTATGTGTGTAGTAGGCATTGACATTGTATTATTAAGTATAAAAGTTAGAATGAGAAAGTATCATCAATTGAGCATTGTTTTAGTTAAGGAAGCTTTTCTAAATTAAAACGAAAGACGGAGGAAATGTTGATACAGAATAAAGAAGGGAATGTTCTTCAGAGGTTTGTGGTTGGCTTTTAAAAAGGCTGTTTTAATTTAGCCTCACAAGGACTGTTTCATGGTCCTACCTCCAACACAGACACTGACCAGCTGCTGCCTTTGGTTCCCAGTTCTCCTGCTGTGTCTGCCCAGCATGCTTGTTTTAGTCCTCTGTCCTCCTACAAATTATCTCAGTTAGCCTAGAGGATAGCCTTGTCTCCCTGGCGGACTTTATAAGATAAAATGGTTCAACAGTGTTTATAGCAAAAAATACAATAATTGTTTTTTCATCATTGTTTTTATCATTATAAAAATTGCCACGGTGACCATGTAGGTTATGCATTTTGGGCAGGAAGCTAAAACACATGTTACTTCCCAGTTCTGGGGTAAATGGTGTGCAGCATTACCTCCCATCAGTTCTGACCAGCTTCCCTGTCCCTGCTGAAGAAAAGCATCACCACTGCTTTAAAAACTAAGTTTCATTTTAGGGTTGGGGTTTTAAGGGATCAGTTTTACTATAAATCAGTGGTTGTTTAGGTGTTATTTAAGACCGATATCAAAATAAAAAAGAAACTAAACTGGGACTCCGACAAAGCTCAGCTGAATACCAGGAATATTTACGGAGCTGGTTGATAAATGACATGACAGGTCAAGCAAATTGGAGCAGGTGTAACAAATTAGCTTAAATTAAAGAGGCAAATAAAACATTGAATAATGCGGAAAAATATCAAGCCTTTAGGCATAACTAAAAAAAACTAAGCCTTTTGTAATGTGTTTTAATTTACCAGAGTGAAACAACAGAATTTGTGAGGAAGCAAGGAGCTGGTGTTAAGCATGTTTATGAGTGAAGTGAGTCTGGGGAAGAAACCAAAAAGAAAAAAGAGGAAGAGAATTGGGATGACAAGCGATCACAACTGGATGCCAGGCACAGAAACCACAAGAGGAACAGAGGGCTTATATACAGAGGACGATCTGACATTGATGGAGTGAAGTATAGGGAGGAAGGTTAGCTGGAACAAGGAGAAGGTGAGCAGTTACAGATGAGGAACAATTTAGATGTTTATAGTGTACTTCCAGCAAATATAAATATCTGCTGGACATTGAATAGGAGGGAAAAGTTTAATCTTTTGTTCTGAAGAAAAAACATGTGCAAGCAACTGCATATGTCAAGTTTATAATAAACATTTACTGTGGTTGTTATTGTCTTACAATGAACATGTAAAAAAGACAAGAATATACTATGAGATATCAGTTCTGCAAATAAACAGTTAGATAATTAAAATGAAAGCCACAGCGGTTGTAAAACTTCCTGCGTTTTTACTTAATCTAAATTTTAAGGGGAAGTCTTTCTGTTCACTTTTCCTGACTCAAACTTGAATAATGATAATAATAACTGAACTTTATTGATCTCACATTGAAAAAATTTACCTCTGCATTTAACCCATCCCCTTGGGGAGCAGTGGGCTGCCATCGTGGGCATCATGGAGAAGTATGGAGGTTACGGTTCTTTCTCAAGGAGCCAGAGTGGCAGTCTTTGGGAGTGGGGCTCGAACTCAGAACCTCAGGATTCCTCTATACCCTTACCATTAGGCAACCACTCCCACCCGCCACTATTGTTGAATATGTCAACTTCAACAATAATTGTAGTAGTAGCAGTTTTATTCAATAATGTAAGATTAGTTATCAAAGGGTTAAAATCAAGGATTCAAAGTTCTTATTTTATATAAATAAACATAGGCGTAAAGTACTGTTATGATATTTGAGCTTTTCTCTTTATTCAGCAACCTATCCTTGGCGGAAGATGCAGACTTTCCAGACTCTATCCCTGCTTGCACTCCCGGATCCTTCAATGATGGCTCCAGGTGTCACCCTTTTGACAACAGGCCTTCTCTGACAAAGCCCGGACGTCTGCATGGCCTGCACAGCACAGAAGCAAGAAGCAGCCCTGCTTCACTTGCTGGTTCTCAGACAGATATCCCCTTGCTGCTGGTCAATGGAGCGCCACAGTTAGACCTGCACATCTCTGGATCAGAACCAGACATCCAGAAAATCCCTGCTTCTCCCTCAAAACGAAAGTGTTTTCAAACCACTTTCAGTAGCAGCCAACCGTCGATGAAATTTGTCATGGACACGTCAAAGTTTTGGTTTCGTCCACATATCAGCAGAGCAGAAGGTAAGACAAACCTGAAGTTGGTTGTGTGTGAAATACAGTGTGTACAAAACGTTTTGAGGATGAACATGAAGCCGTTTCTGTTTTAAATCCTTTTTTGTTTTCTAGCTGAAATGCTGTTGAAAGACAAGGAGGCCGGGGCGTTTCTAGTGAGAGACAGCACCTCCTACAGAGGAAGCTTTGGTTTGGCCATGAAAGTGGAGCAATCACCCACCACCCTCATAGCTGCTGCCGAACCAGGTAAACCTCTTTGATAAACACAGCAGCTCTGCTTATAAAGGAATGAAAAGGATCATAATATGAAAAAAAAAAAATTGTATTTGAAGTAAATACCCATCGATCCATCCATCCTCTTCAGTGTTATTGTTTTTTCTCCAAGCTTGTCATCAAAGATTTAGCAGCTGCAGAAATATCTGATATGATTTCACTGTGAACATTAAATCATGCTGGTTTTTAAGGTTTCCAGCTCTGGAAACTCTGCAGAGAGATGGAGACAGATTGTCTGTCCAGCCAGTGTCTAAAAAACATACTGTTTTTAAAATGTTTGGTCAGAAAGTCTCAAAGCCACATCTCCCACAGCCAAACACAAACAATGCAAGCACAAAGTGCCGTGGAAAGTGGATGTCATCTTACGACATGCAGCAGTCTGTGGTAAAGCAGGGGACGGTGCCAGCCATTTTTCCACCCACAGTGCGCATTGTGTAAACGCCAAAGAAAACTAGTTGTTTATGGCTCTGTAAGCAATCAGCAGAACCAAAACATAATCTCAATCACAAAGCCATTTGGATGTTTACTTCTCTCACAGATTTGTAATATTTTAAACCTAATTACAACACAAAGACACGGAAGACATCGCTCATCAAGTAAGCGATATTTCAAAAATATTCGGTTTGTGCGAAACTGTCTTACAAACAAGGAAAAGCTGGAGGATGTTCAAGTTATAATATGTGGGAATGATGTTCCTGGTGCTCCTCGGGAAATGCAGAGTATTACAGACTGAACTTTAAAGATGAATACCAAATAGGTGAGCTGAGATTTAAAGGGATTAAAATAACATGTTAGAAAACAAGGTGACAAACATCTTCAATTAATAAGGTTACAAACTGCCAAAAACACTGCCAGATTCAAAATGTATGCATGGAATACAGATGAAGACAAATTTGTTGGGCACTCTTTATTTTAAAAAATGCCTCCTTTCTTTTAAAAACAGCGAAAAACAAACAGTAGTTTGAATAAATAGATGGTGTTTGTTTTTTTATTATCGGATAGAGCAGACAGATAACTGGGAAATGCCAATGGTTAAACCATGGGACACAATTTAGCAGTCATAAGAATGCTATGAGGTTTTTTAAAATTAAAAGAAAAAACAATAAAAATCATGACTTGGTGATCAATATAAATGGTTTATATAAAAGGTAAATATATGATTGAAATGAATCATCATTCACATAGAATTATGAAAAGAAATGCAATTTGCTAAGCTTCTTAAAGCTGCCAACTTTTTTAATAAGTGCATAGGATTCATGAGATGTTATTTAACCCAACAACATGAGAATAAAACAGGAATTCAACACCAAATGTGCATTCAGATGTAGTTCTAACCACTATTGACATTATGAAGAAAGAAAAATCAAAAGAAAAGAACAATACACCCTTCAATCTCCAAAATGCATGTTGGAGCGTTTGGGTTTTGCATGCTAAGCTTGGTCAGCATAATCATAGACTATGCTTTAAAAAATCAGCATCACAATATTCAATCCAAGCTAGATGAAAAAGGCCTTTGATGTAGTGATGAATCAGAAACGGACAATCTTGTAACAACTGGGTTCCCATTAGCCATGCCCAGTATACATCCATAGTTTTATAAAGTTCTCAAATTGTACAACTTCTCTAAACAAAACTGAATGCCATCATCCTGTGTTGCCCTAGCCACATTTCACTTCATCTGATTTAGAGAGTTTTGCGCTGTTAGATTACATCACGATCTTTCAAACAAAGGAACACCATACATCTGGTAAAACATCTGTGGTCTGGAAAAAATAGAAGAAAGAAAACTGAAAACCCAACCCTCCAAAACTGAGTTTGAACAGTTTACTCTGGACGACTGGTCACAACCAACCTACCTGTTAGCGACGTAATTAAGCTATGTTATTGTAGACTCAGAAACCTCTTGGTTGCAGAGATTGCTTTAAAAGGAAACATGATAAATCTCATTCCTCAGTGCTTTAGAAACTTTTACTTCTTCAGTTTTGTCAGATTCAAGGTAGTTTGAGTTTGTTTGAGTGAAGTTGATTTTAAAGGGATATCAACAAATAATAATTATTCTGAGTTGAAAGTGGTCAAGTCATCCAACTTTGACATTTTGACTAAGGGAGAAAACATGAACACTTTGAAAAGAATGCTAAACCTCCACAGCTTGGCAATTTAACATAACAGGCCGTTCAGAATGCCCCTCCCAGCCGAATGGAAGCAAAATCCCCTCCAACTTCTAGCCACTGGCTTTCATCAGTGTCCATATTTTTTTACTCTGACTCCACCCTTTAACTGAATTACAGGGTCTGACCAGGAGATGATGCTTCTCTTTAGATCTTAATTTCCACAAATCATGACAGAAAGAATATTTTTCTACAAATATTGATGTTTAAAAAGTAATTGTTAGGGACTAGCCAAGGACCAGCCAAGGGCCAATTAAGAAAAGTGGGGGAAATTTAAATGGCTACTACTTTATATATATTTGGAGGGATGTTTATATTCAGTTTTTTTGGGCCATTTGTATTGAAATGTATAGGGGTTCACAGATTACTCAGTATTCTACATATCCAACAGCCCTGTTTGTTGAACTGAACTTTTTTTATGTGATGCTTTTTGTAATCCATACTAGACCGATTTTGACAATTTTGCATCCTCTTTAATAAGGCGAGCAAATGTTTTTGTGAAATTTGTGCTTTTATGTTAACAGCAGAAAGCGGCTCGGATGTTATCAGACATTTTCTGATTGAATCATCTGCTAAAGGCGTCCGCATTAAAGGGTCTTCTCGGGAACCGTACTTTGGTGAGTTAGCTTTGCATTTTTTCCCTTATTTAACTAAGAAGAAATCTCACTCTGAGTTTAAAATTCATGGCTTCCTAATGACATGGAAGCTGATTCATGATCGGGGAAGTGAGTGGGTTTTTCTTGAACAAAAAAGGTATTCTGTGACTTTCTTCCCACAAAGAAATTATCAAGCAGTTTTTCCTCTCAATGCATTTATCAACAAAACATGCAATTCTTCTGGCTGCTGCTGTAGACCTTATCTAATAGAAACTCTTATTGAACCCTGTTTCCCAGTGGTTCCATAACAGCTGCATTTACATATATTTAATGTATTCTTTTTCATATTTTAGTATATTCTAGTCACTTTCCATTTTGCTCAGTTTCTTTCCTTGTATGTTGATGGGGGAAATACCAAATCACTTTAATGTAGGACTATAGTTGTATACTAAATCTTTTATATTTGTTAAAAATGCTAACTCTTCTAGCAACTGACTGGATATTCAAACAGTTGCTCAGAATAAGAGACAACCAGGAGATCTTTTCTACCTTGTACTAAACAACATTTAAGACTTCTCTTAATGTTTTTTTTTTTACAGTTTAGATCATTGTTTATGTTCCTGCTAGTTTCTCTTATGTCATTTTGAACCAAAAATTATTTAACTTTATATCCTCACTTACCCAAATATTCTTTGACATCCATAAAAAAAAGGCATGCCTAGGTTGCTTTGACTATCGTTTCTTCTTGTTTTCATGTAAAAGTAGAATAGGACTGAGAAATCTGAGTCATTACTGATTTCTAGACAGATGAAACCTTCAGCCTCAGCCATGTACTGAGTCATGATGCTAGAAAGTTGATTAAGAAAGTAGGGGCAACTCAAACATCTTCATTACAAACAAAATCTATTTTTGTAGAATCTTGCAATATGATGTTTGCCTGAACGGTGAGGAAAGTTTTAGTTGTTGTATAAGGGAAGAATGAGCCACATTTTAAGTGGCTGCTAACTTGTACCTGTAAAGCGTAGGGTTGCATTTGTTGATATTAAAGTTGGTTCTGTGGTTCCCCACACTGAGATCAATCTGACTACCATACAGAGCAGGTTACATACTGGCAGCTCATTACTACCCTTTATAATCTCTTGAAAATGATCCCTTTACCCATTATTGATGGACACACCTGGAACCAATTAAATGAATACTGGTCATTTACATTTTACATATCTCCTATACATCTGTAGGTGTATGGCAATTAGAGACTCACATGGTATGATAAACCTGTAATAAAATATCTTTGTTCTAGAATAATTACATCGCAAAGTCAAAGGAAATGTAAAAATATTATAAAATTATTTTAACTGCTGCTAAAATGTTACGTTATGTTTATTACAGCTAGAGCAAAGTGTTTTATACATCCTTTGTTCTTTTACATTCATGCATAGACTTAATGTAGATAGATTAAGTAGCAATTAAGTAGTTATAAGTAATAACTCGGCAGATAAGCGTGTTTCTGCTGGAGGTTTCTTCCTGTTAAAAGGGAGTTTTTCCTCTCTACTGTTGCCACAAACATGCTTAGTGTGAGGGATTGCTTTCGAGTCAATGAGTCGATGCAATCAGCTGGTTTTCCTGAGATAAAAAAAACTTTCAATCAATCTGCCTGTATGGTCTGGTTGAATGATCTGTAAAGTGCCATTGAAGTGGAAAGTGTTGTGAATTGATGTTATATAAATAAACTAAACTGAAATAAAGTACTGGTTAAGTTTAGTTGTAGCCTCTGGTGGTTATTTAAAATGTTGATTTTAGCTGGATAATTAGTCTAGTCATTAAAATCACCTGTTGCTTGTTAACTTTCATTCTAAAACATACTTCATAACATCATAGGATTGGCAGTGCTTTGTTATAAGGAAAATTTTGTTCTACTAGTTTTTCAGCCAGCAGACCGGCAGTGTGCAATTTGTTGGGTAGAAGGAGTAGGAGCACAGCTTTACTTTGAGCTTCATACGGCCAGGGAGAGCTACACTCAATCCCCCCCCAGCAATCTGGTGTTGCTGAATAGTGGCCGTCATTTTTGTATGCCTTGTTCTAAATTTAGATTTTTATATCATGGGGGGAAACATTTTTTTTTGTAAAAAACCAATGAAAAAACATCTGATGCAAACAGGAATTCCTGGTTAAATGGATAAATATGTTTGTTTTTTGTTTGTATGTCTAGTAATTTAAATTTTTTTGCTAAAATCAGATCAAATGTTGGTATAACTGATCTATGATTGATATTAAACTGAATGTGGTTGTGCTTGCAGGTAGCCTCCCAGCTTTGGTTTACCAGCACACAATCACTCCTTATGCGTTACCCTGCAGATTGCTACTGAATGACCAGGGTGGGTAAAGTTTTATATGTTCTGGTGCATTTGCGTGCAAGAAATAAGAATTTTAAAAAAAGAAAAACAGAAGAAATATAAAGTTCCTTTTTAAATTCTTTATGCAGATCTGGAGGAGAAAGAAAATGAAAAGACAGAGGACAAAAGTAAAACAGGTGAGTGAAGATAAGATAGTGACTTTGGTTTTGCAAAGTAAGGTCCAACATTTAATGAATGTTATATTTGGATTTCTTAACAGGAACAAGGAAAAAAAAAACAAATAAAAGACAACTACTTCATTAATACTACTTTATTTCTAATTCCACAAAATATTTTTTGTGTTTTCACATTCTGCTTTGAAACATCTTACATCCTTCTTTAACATCAAAGATAGAGTTAGACAAAAAAAAGGGAAGCTAACCCTGCAAAGCAAGAAATATTTTAAGTCCTTTCTATAAATAAAAATTCTACTGGAATAAAAAAAAAAAAAAAGTTATTTTTTTCTATTGTGCATTTGAAAATTTGTCTTAATTGGGTTGCAGAATAGATCAGAAACAGAACTAAATTGATTTTTTTTTCCCAGCCTGTAACTTTGTCTATCTAAACGCGGTTCCCACCGAGATGCTAACAGGCCCCTGTGCAGTGCACAGGGCGGTGTCCTCAACACTTGAGAAGAAACCCGGCACCTTTGCTCCGACCATTGTCAACATGAAGGTGTCTCTGAAGGGTGTAACACTCACAGATATCAACAGGAAGTAAGGCACTCTGTCATTTTGCTGCTGAGATTTTAACCTACAACCTGCTGGTGGTGAGATGTGGTTTGTCTGCAACTTATTTACCCAAACTTTTTTTTTTTTTTTGCAGGCTTTTCTTCAGACGCCACTACCCTGCTTACCTGCTTAGCTACAGTGGTGAAGATCCAGACAATCGACTGTATGTTTATAAAGCACCTTCACAGATTCAACTTTGCCAATTGGATGCATGCATGTTTCTGATGCTTTCACACTTTGCTTTGTAATAACAAACATGTCCTCATCTCTTTTGCAGGTGGTATAAGGGTACACATTTTGGTGCAAGGTAATCCTCACTTTAAACCTTTAACTTTTCTGCTTCTTATAGTACTTTTTATGCAAATGCATCTAATTTATTTATTTTTCTCTCTGCAGGATGTTTGGTTTTGTGGCAAAAGGTGTTGAAGCTGGCATGGAGAACATCTGCCACGTATTTGCAGAATGCGACCCCCTGCAGCCCTGCAGCAAAGCTGTTGAGTTTATTCAGGCAGCCATAACTAAGCAAGAAACAACCAAATCCTGAATGCCTTCTACTGCCTGTTTATACCATGCTACCTTTGACTGACAGCATCTAAATAGCTGGTTTAAGTCTCTTCTGCTGATAAACTGGTCAGATTTCTGCCTCTTCTGGACTGAACTACCAGATTTAATATTACTTAAGGTTAAGACTTCAGTATAACAGGATATCCTTAAAGTCTCACATAGAAATGAATGTATTTTTAACTCAGGACTATAAAAAAAAAAACAGAATTCTAAAAATAAGATGACGGGGTATTTTTAGATTTTGTCTAGGTTGTAAAAACCCAACCAACTACGCCAGACATCAACTTTAAAGCAACCTTTTATGTCTTAAAACCGCTAGGAACCAGCACCTTAACTGAATATTAACTTGTTATTCTATTTGGTGACGTACAGTGTAGTGCTAAATTATTTATAAACTAATACCTTTCTGTCTTTTGTCTTATTAAAACAAAAATTACAATGTATTTTATTTGAATTTTTATATGACAGGCGGGACACAAAATAGTGCATAATTGAAAAGGGACTTTTTCTTTTTTTACAGATAAAAATAATCTGAGAAGCAAGGATTGCATTTGTAAATAGCTCCTTTATATTTAATAAATCTAAATAACGCCCAGGGAAATAAACCGTCTTCAGAATAAACCTGATAAGTAAATACTAAAGAGCTGACTTTGATCTAATCTAGTCCTAGTGTAGATACACGTCACCTGTTAAAGACTCAGAGATTTGTTAGAGAACATTAGTTAACAATGTGAGGAGAAGTTTGCAGAATGTTTCAGTTGTAATAGAATTTCTCAAGCACTTGAAACAGGGCACTCATCAGTCCATCCTCTTGTAAAGGGAAAAGATGAAACATTCCCAGACATCCATCTTTGTTAGGTGAGAAAAAATAACAGAAGCAGCCGAAGCAATAAGAGCTGCAGCGTTCCAAGGTTCAGCTGGTACAGTCTATTAGCTGCACAACTCAAAAACCTGGTAAAGAAGGAAGCAGTTTTTTATAGAAAAACCTGCTAGATGATTGAAAGACTGAAGACTCAAATTCACCTTAAATCAGGACAAAAACACTAAACAAGGAAATGGTTAGATCAATTCATAATTATGCAAAGAAATACTTTGTTCAAACTGATGACTAATGGGACTAAATACAAATTAATATACTCTTCCAATCTTATTTAAAAAAATGTTGCATTTCCTTCAACTAATAACTTTAAGAAATACATTAGTTTGTGATTACAATATGATAATATGTGAAAGAAATCCAGATACCCATAAAGACAAAAAGAAATTTCAAATCCCACTTAAAAACTGCATTAACTGAGGGATATAGACTTATAACTTGTCCATTTATTTCGTAGCAAGATCTGTGCAGATGTTCTCACTGTATATTTTGAATGTATTTAATTTTTTCATACTCATTGTAAATATATGAATGTGTTTCTTTATCAATTGCTATAGAATTAAAGATGTAGAACAACTAAGTTCTCTGGAATTCTTCTGTTACAGTTTAAAGAGTGACACTAAAAATGGTAAAAGTGGCTTGTAAGCACAAAGGAAGACATTGTGGTTGAATGTGAACATATCTTTATGACAAAAACACACCAAACTGCAGATTTTTCTTCTTTATTTGAAATAATAATATCTGTAGTGTGCTTCTTGAAGCAGAGCAAAAATCAAGCATGGGAATGCATAGATAAGATAGATTCGGATATTTTGAACAACCCTTGAAGATTATAAGAGGCTCCAGTTTTATCTCAAACATTTTGGACTTAAATCTGAGGTTAAAATCTCTAAATCTAAGGCAGCACAGATACATTCTGATGGATTCACTGCAGCGGCAAAGTTTAATAAACACTGCCCTCTACTGGTGAAAATGGGTAAGATAAATTCTCAGGGAAACGTGTGGAAAATGGACGCAGCTGTTAATATCAATTATATCTACATTATAAGTTTGAGAATTACCTGCAATCACGGAGCACCACCAAAGCACTCAAACTGGATATTTTAATGAACACATGTTGCAGGTAAATGAGGCAATCCATCATTATGCTTCAGCTTTTTTTAAGTGATAGGATGGGGGAAAATGTCAGCCAAAGCTACTAAGGCATAATAGGAATATTTCAGCTTTTCCATATTTTTCCCATCAAGCTTAAAATCATGTGTATTTTCTATTACTATGAAAAGGAATTACAGGAATGCCCTACTTTAAAAAAAGCGAATATCTCTTTGCAAGTTTGTATTTGGTTGTTTTGTCTCTGTTTGTTATAAAATCTGTTTTCTTTTCATAAGATAACCTAATATTCCATTCCAAGAAGAGAGCTAAAACCCTCAATCCTCAATGTGTAATTCAACATAACACAAATAGCACAATAACAACAACAACAAAAAAGATACATCTAGACTTGCTTCATATATGCAATAATTTTTACAGTTAACCGTCTAAAACTAAAACACAACTCTGCTTAATGGACCTTTAGTAAAATTACAGAGTAAACTTCATATTTTGGAGGCAGGTTCATAAAACAGATAATTTCAAAATGAATGTTTCTAGCATATATTTGTAAACAGAGAAGTGATTGTTTTGTAAAAAATGGACCTGTTAGAAGTATGTGTTGCTGCTTAATGGTAACACAAACAAATGATAGAATAGGAACTTCTGCAGCCTCGATAGATCCTGCTGCCCTGGAAAAGTGGAGCAGAACTTATTCTCAGGCCCCAAACATCCTCTCCTTTTGAAATACTTTACTTAGCAGCAACTGCAAGTTTTTTTTCTTGGTGCTGGAGCCAAATGGCAGAAGGTATATATGTATTTCAATACCCCTTCCACTCACCAAGGGTAATGTCATAATATGGGAACTTTTTACAAAAAGAAAGCATTGAGGAAAACTGTAGATAGATCGCATTTTGGAAGCTGCATTACTCTGATAAGAGTGAAAATGCTTGCTGGAACAGGAGCACAACATCTAGCCGCATGTTGCCATGAGTTTTGTATTTGAGGTTCCTTGGGTTTCTGTCTTTAAACTTGTTTTTTCTTTACTTTAAATATGAAATCAAACCATCATTAGCTACAAGCCTAACCTCAACCAATAAGAATAAGCAATAAACAAATATTAGGAGACATTCTTGTTAATTTGCGAGGGAGTATTGATGAACCCAGTCAGCACTTGGCTCAGATAAAGACAACAACTCTGGTTGCCAAACTAGAGAAATCCGACACTGTTTTGTATTTTGGTGTGTGCAACTAAGTGCTCTGAGTCTGCGCTGCACTCTGTCATGGTAGATCATCCCTTAACTATGTTTGGATGTAATATTGAATATTTTAGACATTTATGATTTGATTATATCATAATCTGTAGATATTGCTTCTTTTCTTTTAATCAACTAACTACAGAACGTAAATAACTGGGATGACGTGAAACATTTTCTACCCACTGAAACTGAAAAACAGTATCTTACTTTTTAAAAACAAATTTTGTATCCTTACAACAACTATGTAAAGATGGACTAATGTTTTAGTAAATTGCACTGCTTAAATTATCTGCATTTTCCTGTTAAAAGGACTCCTGTAAGTGTAGCTGCAAAGAAGATACAGAAATTACAGTGTGACACAAGAAACAATAAAAGACTAATGATATAATGATATTGCACCAGGGGAAAAAAAGAAGAAAAGATGAGGGGATAGACATAAATTTATCAGTAACCTTTTAAATAACTATAAGAAACAAAGGGTGAAAATGTTTGGGTATTCTAGTAAGGTTATCATTCTTCTAATGTCAACAACATCCTAAGCAGAAACACAATCTGTTTAGTTGGGCTTAATTAACTGATTAAAATGACTCAATCACACCATCTGCTTTCCTTCTATTGTCCTGCTGCCTTTCTATTAAAGTTCATCAGAACTATTTTATTTAGATGTTAAAACAACTCTGTCATCTTGTGAATAAGGCTATAAAGTTCCACCATTAAGATTATGACTTATAAGTGGATTTAAATTAAAGATATAAAGAAACTTTTGCCCTCTTTGCTGGTGACAGGGGCAACAAAAAAAATAAAAACATGTTATTTGAATGCTTGCACACTTTTCATACAGACCTAAACTGTAAATCCACCACTTGAATACATCCTCAGGTAGTTTGAAGCTGATTAAACAGGTCTGTTTGCATTTATCTCCTCCTACCTTCACGCAGGATTTAACTGGGATTAAATGTCAGCATTAGTCTGTAATGTCTCAAATGCAGTCAAGTCTGAGACTTGGAGAGACACTTTCTCTTTATCTGAGCTGATGACGTCAGAATATGATTTACATTTTACAGCCCTGAACGCAAACCTCTCCAGCTCTATCAAACAGTCACCACAAAGCCTCGTTTATAACACCTATCCTGCCAGAGCAAAGATCCGACGGGTAAATTCAGCCATGAGCTGTGATGCTAGCTTAAGTGAATTTTGCATTGGAAAGCATGATGCCAATGATTAGATGCATCTCGAGGGTCGGTGCAGGATCGACGCACTTCCATTTGGAGCCTCACCATCCCTGGCCTCACCACACAATGCTACAAGCCAGATATGAATGTGTTCTTGAAGCGGGGAGAGTCACTGTGTGATGGTGGAGATGCTGCGGGACCTTTTCATGATGAGCCGCACCTCCACGTCAGGGAGGCTGTCCTGTTTGGTCTGGGCACAGCCCTCGTCTGCTGCGGCCATGTGCAGGTCAAAGCGCAGCGACACAGACTTCTTCCTCAGTTTGGGGTTCCCTCTGAAGAAGGAGCCCTCCCATTGCTTTATCACCTTGTCAATCTTCTCTGTCCTGCAACAAGAAGAGATTGAACAGTAATTACATGCAGGATGTTCAAACAATGAGGGGGGAGGCAGGAAAGCAGCTATGGGACTAGAGTCTGTTTGAACATTTTAAACGTGGTTTGCAGTCATTTTCCATTTTACTCACACAACAAAACTAAATAAATATATTGCAAATTAAAACATGGCTGTAGGTGCTACATTCGTAAATGCAGCCATAAAACAAAAAGCATCCCAAAGATTGAGCATTAAAATACATGCATAGAAGATAAAACCAGGAACAGCAGAGACTGAATTTGAATGCTGAATTATCTTCACAATGCATGTATGTTTATAACGAAAATGAAACTCCAAACCCCAACATGTTATAACTCATGAGCTCTGACAGCAGAGAGTGGGCTGCAAAGCTGTAACAACATGCAGCTTATAAGAAACATCTCAGAAAGCTGCTGCACAGTGTGCTGAAGATGAGGAAATGAGGGTGATATCAAAAGAGGCAGGCCTCAACAATCCACAGTATCTAGAATTCATGTTTGAAAAAAGATAGATGGGAAAACAACAAGCAAAGACCTGAAACAGGAACAGGGAAATGAACCATTATTCAGCCAGGCATTATTGAAATGATCTGTTTAATGAGCTATAGTCGAGCTAAAATGCAGTTAAGCAATTTCATGCACAAGTATTAATCACCCTTGAATATTTTTGCACTTTTACTAAAAACTTAAATGTTACTTGTTGCCGATTTATTTATTAGACAAGCACAAAGTGGAAGAATATTCTGAGGTGTGAATAAAAGATGTTTAACCTAAAAAGAACTGTTCAGTCCCATTAAGTCAACACTGAAAGGAAAATTTGTATTTTTAAAATGTGGCAAGCTCAGCCAGATGAGATGGAGAGTATATTTAAACTCTTTCTGTTTCAATCTTACCACAGATTCTCAGATAATTTAATGATTAAGGCTTGGGCACATGAATGTGCTTTCAATGAAAATATCTGCTGTAACTCTGGAAAATCTCTTTCCCAGTTGGAAGTCTTTTGCAGCCTCTAACAGGTGCTCATTAATTATTGCACTATTACTCGCTCCATTCTCCACCCATTAAGTCAAACCTCTTCCTTTTCCCAGCAATATAATAATTATCCCTACTGCATGCCTCTGCCATTATAGCTTAATGGTGGTGTTTTATCCTGAAGGTTTTTTTCCCCACCATATTGTTTTTGCATGTAAGCTAAAAAGTTCTATGTTTTTCTTATCTTCTCCGCTTTGTTTTCTACATGGCTTGTGGCAAACTGCAAAAATGACTTTATTGGCCCATAAACCATGATATCAATTTTTAACATTTGGGACAAATGCTGATATTGACTTTAAACATTTGTTAATGATCTCCCCCACGGGGCTTGAGAAGAAAAGAATCAACTCAAGGACACTCTGTCTCTGTTTTGTGGCTGATCTCAGACCTGACACATTGAGGAGGTGCAAACATGGAAGGACACAAGCAAGAACCAGAATCTGCAGACTAAGGCTAAGTTGACATGGTGACAAACTTGCTGCAAAAAAGACAGATTGCAACATTCCTCTCTGAGTTGCAGGGAACTTTCAGATGTCTGAAGGGACTGGAGGTGTGGAGCAAAGGGGAGATCCTCTGTTGCCAGCCTGCCATGCTAAGCTGCCAGATACTGAACATAACTCAGCCTTTTCTAAAATGGAGATCAACAAAGGTTGCAACTTCAAGCTAAAGAATTTGTCTCTTTGATGATTTATGATTATTTCATGTGATTTCTATTGTAAACACAGGAATTAATACAAAGCTCAGAGTTTGGACTGCATGGTAAACTATGTTAAAATGTTATGAGTTGTTGTTTATAAATCTGAAACCAGCTTTAATTCAGTAAGGGGTTTACACACCATTAAAATATTAACTGTAAAGTTTTCCTCATTGCATTTGAAGTAAAACAATTGGACCAAAATGTCCTTTAAGAAGAGTCCCCTAATGTTTGCTAGCTATTTGCTCAACCACAGAAGGCTACGAATCAATCAGCAAAAAGGTTACTGGCTTCTAATTAAGAAAATTACAAACTGAAACATTATTTTGCAAAATATTTTTTTTTATCTAGGGGATTTTTTTTGCGAATTGGTTTAAACACATTCAAATTGCTCTAGATAGGTTAAAAGTTCATTTGATCACATTCCAAACTATTGACGTTAAATTTGCTTTTGAACCATAAAATCCCTGCCCAACAGTATATCATGACCTCATTTAATGATAATTGTCTTCAACCATGTGTTTCCTTCTTTGTGCACACGGCTTAGTTTTGTTGATTTTCACTAGTATAGTCAAGAATTAGTAAATGAAATATGTTTGACTTGGAGCTCATATTTTGAATCATTTATCTATTTGACTATGACTAAAGCTTGATTCATACTTTCATTTGTTGTTCTAACACACAGCCAGTTTAGCATGTGTTCACACAACAACATATGAAAGTCCCAATATCATTTGCATAAATAACATATGCATGCACAACATATGTATATAGCTTTCTTACAATGGCTGTGTCAACATGTCCCGTCAACAGCACTACTACTTGGACCTGTCTTTTTCTCTGATTAATTCCCTTTTTTGCAAAAACTATCAGTGTAGCTGGACCAGTGTGTCATAGTAGTCTAGCAGTTATGTCACACTTTCATTTTAGGATGATGTATTAAAGAGAGTTTTGTGAGATGATCAGAGCTGGAAATGTTTTATCACCTAACTATGCTTTAACCTTTCCATCTAACCTGTGAGAAACTTCACACAAAGATGGACTCTTTCAACTTAAAATCTGAAGGTAAATAATATCACTGGAATTTATTTGGGGGATTTCGAGAAAAAGGGGACTGAATACACATGAATGGGAGACTTCTTAGGTTTACATTTGAAGCATATTTGGTCAATTGTATAATTTGTTCTCTACTTTACATATATGCCCCATTTTTACGTTGGTTTAATTACAAAATACTTGAATAGAAAACACGGAAGTTTGTAGATGTAGTGTAGCAGATACCAAATATCTAAAATAAATGTCAAAATTGTTGCAAAGCTCCAACAGAGTTGAACTTTTGGTGAATTTGTGGAATTAGGAGTGATAACAGGATAGCGAAAATAATGACATCATTATACTTTTTTGTGGATTTATCAATATATACCTCTGAACATGGTCAGGTACTTAAAATAACTTAGACAATAACTACCGTAAACAATCAAACATCATGAAAATAATAACAAGGGCTTTACTAAGACCGTGGAACTGTTGTTTATGATCCTTTTAAAAGATTAGATCTGATTTCTAAGAGAAAATCAAGCTGCTGAGGGTTGGTTCATTGCAGCTGATGTGTATTAAGCCATGTTCTATCTCTAAATAAAGCAAGTCCCTTCTAGATGACAATGCCTTTAAGCCTACTGATGACAGCACCATGCCTGTTGATCTGCAGCTTAATCAACTCAGCAGATGAGCAGAAGGCAGATCATCAAAAGAAATGCTGCTTGAACACACAAACAATTCCCAAATGCTCTGATTTCCCAAACAAATAAGCAATTTTGATAAAAGAACTTTGTGTTCAAAGTTTTTTGGATTGCAAGACTGTTCAAAACAATATAGTTTGGGTGGTTTTTATCAGTTTGTGATCCTAATTATGGTGAGTAAGTGAACCGTGTAGGAGTCAGCTCAGTGAAGGATTGCAATGTGCTCTCAAGAACTAACACCTCGATTGAAAACGAGAAAACAAAAGCAATGCTCCAGGTGCTTAAAATGTGTGAGGTAAATTTTGCACAGCAAGCAGGTGTTTACACACAGTGGCATATTCTGCTAAAAAAAAAACACAAGCATAGCAACTCTTGTGCCGCTTTCTCTTTCAGCCTAATCCCAGAGTGTCTGAATGTTGTCAATCTTCTTGCATGTCTCTTGGACCTGAAGCATACCAAACTATTCTTTGTTTCCTCCAACAATAACACAGCACCACACCCTGAAAGTCTGCAGACCAGGCGTGTATCTGTACATCAAACACAAACTAACAGCACAGCGAGGTTCCCATGCAACGGGGTGAAGAGTTACTCATGAGAACCTGCGATGCCGACTCAGTGTTTTATTGCGTGCGACTTGTTGGATGTTGTAAAGATGCTAAGCCCTTGTCAGTTGGAGCAGACATCACCGGGGTGGGGAGGTGTATGATGTGATCATGTGTGACTCAAAGAACACTCACACAGTAAAAAACTGAAACAAGGTAAATATGTGGCAAAATAGTATTTTTTATAAGGTATTTATCAGGATAATGTAGGGCTGTCACTTTCCTGAGATATAATATTGATTGATTGAATAAATGACTTTATTCATCTCACAGTGGAGAAATTCACTTGTCACATTGGCTCAATAGTATTATATATATATATATATATATATATATATATATATATATATATATATATATATATATATATATATATATATATATATATATATATATATATATACCGGTATTTTATTTTATTTTATTTTTTATTTTTTTTGGTGCAGACTGTGCAAAGATGCCTCTGAAACAATACAGCACATAACAGCAGGGTGTAAAATGCAGGCAGGAAGTGCATACATGGAACGCCACAACCAGGTAGCTGTCATAGTGTACAGGAACATCTGCCATGAGTATGGGCTGGAAGTCCCAAGGTCAAAATGGAAGACACCTCCTAAAGTAGTTGAGAATGACCGAGCTAAGATCCTATGGGACTTCAAGATCCAGACTGACAAACAGGTGATGGCTAACCAACCAGACATCGTGTTGATCGACAAACAGCAGAAGAAGGCAGTAGTGATAGATGTGGCAATCCCAAGCGACAGCAACATCAAGAAGAAAGAACACGAGAAGCTTGAGAAATACCAAGGGCTGAAGGAGGAGCTAGAAAAGATGTGGAAAGTGAGAGAAGCAGTGGTGCCAGTGGTAATTGGAGCACTGGGGGCTGTGACCCCCAAACTGGGAGAGTGGCTACAGCAGATTCCAGGTAAAACATCAGAGGTCTCTGCCCAGAAGAGCGCAGTCCTAGGAACAGCTAAGATTCTGCGCAGAACCCTCAAACTCCCAGGCCTCTGGTAGAGGACCCGAGCTTGAGGATGACACATACCACCCCACGAGGGGTGAGAAAACAGTTTATATATATATATATATATATATATATATATATATATATATATATATATATATATATATATATATATATATATATATATATATATATATATATATATATATATATATATATATATATATATATATATATATAATCCTGTTAAATAAGAGACACTCTGGGATTATATATACTGTATATATATATACACTATATTGCCAAAAGTATTTGCTCACCTGCCTTGACTCACATATGAGCTTAAGTGACATCCCGTTCCTAATCCATAGGGTTCAATATGACGTCGGTCCACCCTTTGCAGCTAGAACAGCTTCAACTCTTCTGGGAAGGCTGTCCACAAGGTTTAGGAGTGTGTTTATGGGAATTTTTGACCATTCTTCCAGAAGCGCATTTGTGAGGTCGCACACTGATGTTGGACGAGAACGCCTGGCTCTCAGTCTCCGCTCTAATTCATCCCAAAGGTGTTCTATCGGGTTGAGGTCAGGACTCTGTGCAGGCCAGTCAAGTTCATCCACACCAGACTCTGTCATCCATGTCTTTATGGACCTTGCTTTGTGCACTGGTGCACAGTCATGTTGGAAGAGGAAGGGGCCAGCTCCAAACTGTTCCCACAAAGTTGGGAGCATGGAATTGTCCAAAATGTCTTGGTATGCTGAAGCATTCAGAGTTCCTTTCCTTGGAACTAAGGGGCCAAGCCCAGCTCCTGAAAAACAACCCCACACCATAATCCCCCCTTCACCAAACTTTACACTTGGCACAATGCAGTCAGACAAGTACCGTTCTCCTGGCAACCGCCAAACCCAGACCCGTCCATCAGATTGCCAGATGGAGAAGCGCGATTCGTCACTCCAGAGAACGCGTCTCCACTGCTCTAGAGTCCAGTGGCGGCGTGCTTTACACCACCGCATCCGACGCTTTGCATTGCACTTGGTGATGTATGGCTTGGATGCAGCTGCTCGACCATGGAAACCCATTCCATGAAGCTCTCTGCGCACTGTTCTTGAGCTAATCTGAAGGCCACATGAAGTTTGGAGGTCTGTAGTGATTGACTCTGCAGAAAGTTGGCGACCTCTTCGCACTATGCGCTTCAGCATCCGCTGACCCCGCTCCGTCAGTTTACGTGGCCTACCACTTCGTGGCTGAGTTGCTGTCGTTCCCAAACACTTCCATTTTCTTATAATACAGCTGACAGTTGACTGTGGAATATTTAGGAGCGAGGAAATTTCTCGACTGGATTTGTTGCACAGGTGGCATCCTATCACAGTTCCACGCTGGAATTCACTGAGCTCCTGAGAGCGACCCATTCTTTCACAAATGTTTGTAAAAACAGTCTGCATGCCTAGGTGCTTGAATTTATACACCTGTGGCCATGGAAGTGATTGGAACACCTGATTCCAATAATTTGGATGGGTGAGCAAATACTTTTGGCAATATAGTGTATATATATATATATATATATATATATAATCCTGTTAAATAAGAGACACTCTGGGATTAGGCTGAAAGAGAAAGCGGCACAGGAGCTGCTGTGTATATATATATATATATATATATATATATATATATATATATATATATATATATAATCCCAGAGTGTCTCTTATTTAACAGGATTATTGCACAAGTTATTGCACAGGATTCCTCCAAGTGTGGGTCCTCTACCAGAAGCCTGGGAGCTTGAGGGTTCTGTGCAGTATCTTTGCTGTTCCTAGAACTGCACTCTTCTGGACTGAGATGTCTGATGTATTTCCTTGGGATCTGCTGTTGCCACTCTTCAAGTTTGGGGGTCACTGCCCCAGGTGCCCCAATAGCATCTCTGGTTAGGGTTACTTAGGTAGGAACATTGTAATAGAGCCCTATTCTCGCATCTTGTCCATTTCCTTTGTGTTGTTCCAGTAGCCTATTTGACATCAAGGTGCTCTGGTTCCCCAACACCTGATGTATAACTTGTTTAACTGGGTGACGTCTGACCCAGCATGTCATTCATTATATTGTCTGTCATCATTGTATGAGGTAGGCATTAGCATGAAAGGTCTTGCCTAAGAACCCGCATGGACATTTTTCATTGAACCCGGACCTACCGTGTGCAAGTTGGGTGACTTGAGCCATCCATCCGCCGATAGGCAGTAGCGCAAAGGGTCTTGCATGTGGACCCACACTGGCAGCTTATGTTATTTTTCTCCTCCCCCTGCCAACCTAACAGGGTATTGCAATGGGGTACTACATAGTGATTGCAAATTAGCTATTGCACAAGTTATCGCAGTTATAGTGCCACATTGTAAAGTCTGATAGCGGCAGGAATTAATGACCTGTGTTAGTTTTTTTTTTTACAAAAGCAGTGACAGTTCAGCCTGAGGCACAACTGCAAAGGCCAAAGGTCAATGGGGGTAAAGAAAGATCAATACTCACTCAATAGTGCCGTGACCTTCTGCGCTCTCCTGGACCACTTTGCCCTGCAGGATCTCCTGTGTCTTTACAGTGGCCAATGGCAAGTCTTTATCCTGCTCTGGCTCTATGAGAATAAATAAATGACCGACCAAAAACCAGCATGACTGAGATAAGATCCTGTGTGTGTGTTTGGTCTACCTGTGAGTATGACCAGGCTTTGCTGTCTGTACAGCTTGCTCTTCTTCAGTTCCTGGTCTGCAGGAAGGAGCGATGGGATATCAGGCAATGGCTCTGATTTAGGTTCATCCGGAGTAACAACAGAGTCACTAAAGCTGTTTTCCAATCCATTCTCCTTTGGCTCCAACACAGGAGACCTCCAGGGTCGCAGACGCAGCGGCTGCACACAACGGCCCTGCATGTACCTGCAGATTAAGGGAGGCGAAACAGAAAGTAGTTACAGATTTCAAATTTTTAGGTTCAAAAGTAGAGGACAGAGGAATTAAAGGGTGGAATGGTGGTAGTTTTCCTCCATACATTATTCTGTGTAAAGAAAACAGTTTTCAAATGAAAACGTTCAGAAAATCTTTCATCTTCTTCTACATTTGACTTGTTTCCCAACATGTTCCCCCTGTATGCAAACAGGTTATATAAAATATATTTGGGGTTTTTTTCATCCCATCTAAGGATCAGATTTATTAGTTGCATGACTAATTCTTCTAATGAGCTGTGAATGTTTGCAGTTCCCCCTGAGTTAGAGTCTATCGCTGTTTTCTGATTACGGCTCTTGTTGCATGTCCTGTCAGTTCAGAGGCATAACCATGTCCTTGTAGGTTCAAAGTCGTGCTCAAACCTTCTTTGTTTCCTGTGAGACTTTGTTTGCTAAAACTGGGATGTTTCACGGTAATTGGTTGCACTGAATGAATTTAAGTGAAAGGAAGTAAAGGAGGCCGAATATGTAAAAATTCTAGTCTTTTCAGATTTTTTTTTTAATATATCCCTGAAAAGAATCGGTCGTTTTCCTTTTCTGTTGATCTATCAAAATACATTTTAATATTAAAATTCAGAGGCATTTAAGGATGTTTCTCTAGTAAGCAAAGTATTAGTTCAAACAATTCGACCCATTTAACATAGTCGCATTTGATGTCACATCGGCCGAACAGCTGTGGAACTTCAGACTCAAAATATATCCAATGTACTTTGATGTAATCAATGTATTCTAATGTAGCATTTGAGCAATAAATCAAGCATCCATTTTTGCAGCATGGTAAATTATTGGTGGTGAGTTTTAAATGAAAACACAAAAGAAAGCACTGATCAGAAGAGGATCTTCATAGTAGATCTTACTAAACTATTTTTAATTTGCTTTTCCTTTTATTTTACCCTTTTTTTAGTTAGCCTTAGGTCACTCAGCATCAAGTGATAATGAAAACATGTAACAGTCTTCAGCTAAAATTAAACTGCATTTTTTTAACTATTCAGAACCATCAAAAAGGGGCGTCGCACAATGGAAAATGTAGTGTTACCGAAGAATACAACGCCGCACGCTTCTCAGTGAGACCATTAATTTGAACTCTGTGCCAGGGCACAGCAGTGTCTGAGCTTTTTGTGGTTTGTAAAATGCTTCAGTGCACAGGTCATGGTTTTACAAGGCATTCCTGCATGTTTTGTTTGGCGTAAACCACATGGGTGCCACCCTTCACAAGCATGAGCAAACAATCAGGTGTCCTCTGCAACCTACCAACAACCTTTACTAGCTGCTATAATCAAATAATTTTCCTTAATTAAGCGACTATTAAACGGCTCAGACTGTCGCTGCTTCTTCCAAGGTACTCTATAGTTTGTTGTTTTTCCTACAAACGCCCTGTAAAAACAATTAGAGGCCATCCTTAACATTTTCAGATAAAACATGTTGATGCTGGTAGAACGACAGGCCAAGCAGTTGAGGAGATTTTGTTTGTTAGGTCATAGATAGGTTTCTAAACATTGTTTGTGATTTCTGCTCTTTTTCCAGTCAATCCACAGGAATGTCCTTGTTTCAACCTGCAATCATTATGGATTTTTATTTTCAGTCAGGATGAAATCTACATCATCTGCATCAGAAAGAGCTGCTATGAGTAATCCCAACACATAAGGAGCTCTGGTAGAGTTGTTTGCTTAGTGAACAGAACATTAGGAGGTAATTTTGTTGACTTTGTTGGAAAGAGCTGAAGATACACTTCCTCAATACTTACGTTAGCTAAATGAGTTTAGCCCTTTTTGTTTACTTAAAAGGTTTGGCATAAAAATAAGGTTTATGATCTTTTCACCCCTCCACTCTTCCAGGAACTGATTCTCAACTAAAAGTGCAAAGTAGGAATAATCACAAACCAAAAAACTCCCTCCCTTTAATTCCTTTCCTGGTTCTCTGAAGATTGCCCTCCCTCCCTGAATCCGCCACCTTACCTGCCCTCCTCACGTTCCAGTAGCCGTCGATAAGTGGCAATCTCCCTCTCTAGCTTCATCTTGGTGTTGAGCAGTTGGCTATGGCGTTGGCGTTGGGTGGCCAGGCCTTCCCTCACCTGCTCCAGTTCACCTTCCAGCCTAAGAATCACCTGCGAGAGGTCTTGCAACTGGCTTGTGTAGAGGTCTTGGGTGTGCTGCAGAGTGCATTCCAGGCCTCTCTCCTGGTGACAATAAAGCAAATAACCCTATGGGATATAAGCAATGAATTTTCTTTTCATACTGCTGCTGGAAGCTGCAGTATTGCTAAACTAGTTATTCTTCAGTAGAAATTCTACAGCAGAGCACCTCATCCCCATAATGGAACATGGTGGTGGCAGCATTATTGATAACAACAGTATCGGTAATAATCTGAAGGCCTTGCTCTACCACACTGACAATCTGTTAATCTGAGGATGCAAACGCTCTGAGCCACAGGTGTCAAAGTCGTTCCAGAAAGGGCCGTGTGTTGCTGCTGGTTTTCTTTCCACCCAAGCAGTAGCACACCAGACTCCATTCATCTCACCAAGGTGAGTCTAGTCTTAACCTGATGACTTGATGGGTTGAATGGAGTCTGGTGTGCTACTGCTTGGGTGGAAAGAAAACCAGCAGCCACACAGCCCTTTCTGGAACGACTTTGACACCACTGCTCTGAGCTATTCACTATGCCGCTACACCTTGCATAGCATTGCGTTATAGTAGGACGCTCCATTATCAGGGAAAGGAAGATAAATACTAAATACTGTATGCAGCCAGAGGGGTAATTTGAAATCACTGATCAAAGCTTAATTGTTTTTTACAGATGAGCAAAGTCCAGGTCTGAATTTAGACAGAAATCTGTGACAAAACCTGGAACTCAATGTTTTCAGATGAGACTCCATCCAATCTGAGTTAACTACTTTAATGGGGATGATTTGGCAAACCCTTTGAACTACCAAAATAGGTGCAAATGTGATTACAGCAAAAAAATGTTCCATAAAATATATCGTTCTTTCTTTACCATCATATACTTTTATTAGGCTGTCACACACTATAGAAAACTTGTGAAAAACTTTGCAAAGCTCTGTATATGGTGTACCGTACAAGACCTTTTAATCCTTCACCTCTGTAAAGGACATCTCACTGCAGGCAGAATGTTCTCTGCAAACTTGATCCTCATGTAGTTTGCATACAGCCTGTATATTAACCAGTTTTTTAAAGCCTCAAATAATCAGCAGCTGCTTTGCATTTTACAAAGAGAGACATCAGAACCTTTTTGTTGTTTTCCCAAAGCTCATACTTTCCAGGAAAGAATATTTTAGGTAAACACAACGCTTTGAAACTCACGGCATTAGGTTTGGGAGGACCTAATCAAGCACCAAGAGAGTCACTGAAAGAGAAAAAACTGCCATTTCAGATGTAATATGTCCGACATACAATTAGAAATTTAAATTTGAGAAGTGTTTTCTTGTTGCACACATTATACTGATTTAAAAAGTAAACTCTATATTGTATTTATCAAACTATTACTATAAATTACATGAACATGTATTTTCAAATGGAGATTTAAAGACCAAAACTCATACTTCAGATTATAAAAAACTTATACATTCATACAGTTAGCTCCCTCAGTGGTCACTTTGTGAACCATGTGTGGCAGTCTTACTAATCAGGGAGCTGGTTTGATCTAAGGAGCAACTATGGCTGGTTTCCAGTGGCCTCAGGGACCAGAGGGTCAATGGAAAAAGTAAATGGAGTGCGGAAAGTCAAAAGAAAGTGCAACTGCTACAGGATTTGAAAAGCAAGGGGAAAAAGAAAACTGAAACAGAATAAGTAATTTCCTTTTTAAATGTGTGATTAGGAAAGTTATTTATAATCAGGTTTATGAATTGTGGTTTTTAAATCTCCATGATAAATGGGATTGGAAAACAGGTTTTCAAATTACAGGAATTATTATGGGATTGATAAATACAATTCACAACTTATCTTTAATAATAATAATTGAACTTTGTTAATCTCACATTGGAGAAATGTACCGCTGCATTTAACCCATCCCCTTTGGGAGCAGTGAGCTGCCATTGTGCGGAGTCTGTTTCGACTATATATACACATTAATTTATAAAAGAATTCTGCTTTAAGCCGTAAAGACAACACTTAATGTTGAAAATCATCTTCAGTTTAATAAATATTAGCTAAGTATACTACTTTGTAGCCTTTTCCTATTTCGTGACTACTTAACATTTTACCTTTAACTCATGTTTATTTATTCTCTGATTCTTGAATCCTTGTGTGCAAACAGAAAGAAGTAGCTGCACCTGTAAGTATCTATTCTGTTGTAGCTGTTGTTATAATAGCTATGTACAGTTACAAAACATGAATTTACTAAAGTCTTTTTTAATCCTGTGTGAGTCTAAAGCCTTACAGAACAATAACTGCATCGCTGAGTAATCAAGAAACCACTGTTTTCTTGTTTTAAGGTCTATCAAATTAGGTTTCATGCAGAAGAGATATAAATCAGTAGCATGAGTTGAAAAACTATTACCAGGAAAGAAAAGTTTACATTTAATTGACTGGAACATGTAAAGACAGTTAAATGCTTTCACCTTGCCAGGTCGATTGTCTTTTCCTTTCAGCAGCTGACACCTGACATTTTTCATGGCTTATCAGTGTATCAGGGTGTGGTGATGATTGATCTTACCAAGGCATGAAGAGTTTCCATCTCCACTTGCAGGGAGCGCCATTGCTTCCTGGCCTCGGTGAGCTCGGCCCGGGCCTCCTTTAGGGCAGCTCCTCCCAGGTTCACCTGAGCCCATGCTGCCTCCTCCTATGCAATTAGAGGAAGGCCACATTTTACAGAACGCTCAGCTCTGAGGTGGTTTTACATAACAAGCAGCCAAACTATACCTTGCTGATACGCATACACCCCCCCACAACCCACTCCACCCCAACTCCCCATTCGCACTCAGCAGTCAAGAGGAGAAGAGGCAATAGGTGGTGATATTGAGCAGTGTGGATTTCAGGTTTGGGCAAACAGACATCAAGGTCTTCATGTATACACAGCTGTACAGTGCTGACAAACTGTACAGCTCTTGGCTGTTTCTCGCCCACAAGCTAATAACTCTAAATATTTTTACCAATAAGGAAAAAGAAAAGAAAACAGGTTCCAGTTATGCAAGGAATTTTCTGTTTAACTTCTTCCTCCGCCTCGTCTCAACCCACGAAACGGTTTTTTGAGTTACTGGAAAAGCAGGTTTCAGGCTGATTTTTCCATCATCATCAGCTAATTACTAAACAGATAACACTGGATCAGCTTACATATCAGGTCAGTGAAGGCTTTTAGATCCTTTACTTCACAATATCTCTGCTATGACCAGTTTTGGATGAAGTACTCAACAGTAGTACTTGAGTTAAAGTATTGAGACTCATAGTAAAATCATACTCAACTACAAGTAAAAGTAAAAATCTACTCAAGTTAAAGTATTAAATTACTCACTTTTGAAAATACTTAAATATTCAGAAGTTCATGCATTTAAAAGTACTTAAGTATTCAAAAATACAAATACTACTTTCTAATATCAGTACATTTCTGCATAATTTTCAGAGTAATTTTAAAGATCCTTGTAACATTCAGAAACCACCGGATATATTGATTCATAGATCCACCTGCTACAGATTCTACACCACCTGTAAAGAACTTCAGCATAGAAATGCATCTTTTTTTTAAATAACCCTAAAAGAAAACAGGACTGTCTTAATCCTCCTCACACTTTCACTGTGGAATAGAGGTTTAAGGTTGAATCTATTACCACAAATAAACCACAATTCTGCTTTGTGACCAAGCTGTTCATCCTACTGAACAACTTGGCAACAAATTCTTCAGTACAATACAAATAATAATACATAACACAATTATAAACTACAAATATTATCTGTTCTGACTTTCTAACATCTGTGTAATGTCATGCAAATCTTCAAAACAGTGGTGTCCAAACTCATTTCAAGAACGAAAAACAGCAACAGTGGATTACAAAGCTAAGCCGAGCCAAAAGGAACAAGGAACTAGAAGCTTACTTGAAATGCAGTGGGGTAGAAAGTACAGCATTTGACTTTAAAATGCATTGGAGTGAAAGTTTTGATTAGCACTTGAAAAAAGTACTTGAGTAAAGTAAATATACTCTAAAAAGTACGTAGGTTCATTAATCTAATAAATGTACATTGTTACTTTCCACCACTGGCTGTGACACATTTATGATGGCAATAAATTAGGAAAAACAAAGACCTCAACTACTAATTAGTTTGTGTTGCAGTTACATATAGAAACTTGAACCTTCATGTCATGTTAAAAACACAAACTAGATGACAACCAAGCCAAGACAAAATGACAAAAAATGGACTCACGCCATAACATGTCTGAACAAACCTGGGAGCAAGATCAAGGTACCGACTTAAAAACAATTAGATGAATTCACCAACAGTCACCTGCTTTGTCAACTTCACATCTTTGTAGAATCAAGAGGGGGCGGCATGTCTACAAGTTGTCTTACACTGTTCAGTTCTGCCTCAGGAGGAAAACTGCCAAACACCCACTGAAATAAAAATCCCCACACAAACCTGTGTGGAAGCATCATGCTGTGTATTTCAGTACAGAAAAGGAAGCTTTATGTACTTAGTTAAAAGTTGGATTCAACTAAATACAGGGAATCCTGGATTTAAAAAAAGACTTTAGGTACCCTGGTAGCTTCTTCTTTTCAAGCAGAAGCCAACACACACGATGAGAACAACGGTAAACGGAAAGGTTCACAGGAGTGCATATCTACGTGTGAAGCTGCCAGAGAAAAGTTCCAAGATATGTAAAGCAGGCAGAGACATACCTTAAATTATTTGGAGAAGCAATAGCAGCTAAAGAATTGACCTCAGGCACTATATGAATACGTACCACAGTTTTTAGATCATTTGTAGACATTATTAAAGCTGCATTGTGTTCCTTTCTGTTTACCTGGTCCATTAGATAAGTGTCCCATAAAATGCACTGAATACTGTATTTATAACGTGTCAAAAATGAAAAAAAAAGAGGTTCATGCAGGATAAATACCTTGACAAGCTACAGTGTGTGACTCTCTAAATGCTAGAACATCATATCTCTGTCTCTTCCTCATCCCTTGTTGATGATTATGTATTTTCTAATCAATAATTAATTACGGAGAAAACTACTGCATTTTGTAGAAACCTGAAAGGATGACATTCACCTACGCTTTGGACCACAGCTTTTTAATAAAGGAGTCACGGCGTCTTGTGAGAGTTGATGTAGATTAGAAATGTCCTTTTGTGTTGCAAATTTCACTAAGTACATCTAAGCAAAACTAACTGGCTCAGTGCCACTTAAGGGTGGAGAAGACAAACATGGAAGGTAGTTTCCCCATCAAAGAAAAAGCCATGTTGCAAGTTGATTAGTTTGCATGACAGGAAGGGGGAACAAGGAAGCTAAACTCACTCAATACATTTACATTTCTTTAAAAGCAGCTTTAAAATATATTTTCTAAGGAAGTCTTTAATTCGTCATCTTCATATTTTTTTTTTATTAATTTTCACTTTACACACATTTCAGATTATAACTAACAGAAAGTGCTCATTGTGTAGAGCAGAAGACTTGAACGCTGGTTTCACAATCCTTTAGGGTAATTGCAGGAGCATCAAGAGAGCCAAATTCTTAACATAAAGAGACTTTCCAACCGACTTTTTGAATAAAAGGTAAATTTCTCATCATCTTCACGGAAAATGAAAGAACAGAGTGAGCAGGATGGGTTTTGTAAAACTCAACACTGGGAGGTTTATTTCTCGTTTATCAAAGGCAATGTTTGTGTTCCCACAGCTTTTGGAATCAGATTATGTAAGAGCTAGAAAATTGGCTTCAAGAACACAGAACGGAAACCTCTGAAGCAAAACAACCACTAAAGAAAGCGCAGGTGTTGGTTATGAACATAAAAAGAAATATGTCTTTATCTTCTAAAAACCCTGGACACCCTGACCTGTCCAGGGTGTAACCCCCCCCCCCCCCCCCTTTAACCCATAGAATGCTGTAGATAGGGACTGGTCCCACTGTGACCCTGATGGATGAAGCAGGATGCATGTGTCATTTTCACGACCTGTAATTAGACATGTAACTTGACCTGTAACTCGACCTGTTACTAGACTTATTACTAAACCTGTAACTAGACCTATAACTAGGCTTGTAACTCGACCTGTAACGCGACCTGTAACTACGGTAGTTCTGTTGCTAGACCTATAACTAGGCCTGTAACTCAACCTGTAACCGGATGTGTTACTAGACCTGTAACTAGGCCTGTAACTCCACCTGTAACTTGATCTGTTACTAGACCTTTTACTAGACCTATAACTAGGCCTGTAACTAGGCCTGTAACTCCACCTGTAACTTGATCTGTTTCTAGACCTCTTACTAGACCTATAACTAGGCCTGTAACTAGACTTGTAAGTAGAACTGTAATTTGATCTGTTACTAGACCTCTTACTAGACCTATAACTAGGCCTGTAACTAGACTTGTAAGTAGAACTGTAACTTGATCTGTTACTAGACCTCTTACTAGACCTATAACTAGGCCTGTAACTCAACCTGTAACCCGATCTGTTACTAGACCTCTTACTAGACCTATAACTAGGCCTTTAAGTAGACTTGTAAGTAGAACTGTAACTTGTAGCTTTACAACTAATAGCAGACCACTTTGAAGCAGCAGATTGAAAAGAGCAGGTCTTAATGCTCAATTCCGATGGTCAGATTTATTGTCAGATCCGATTTTGTTTTTGTGTGGCTGTTCACGTGACTGTCTCAAATTGTGTCCCTGAAGTGACCCGCATGCACAGCCAAACAATAACAAGACATGTGAAAAGTCTGTGTCTATGGAGGGACTAAAAGCTATTAAGCAGTGGAATTAGCAGGATAAAACAGCAGAATATGCCAAAAGGAGACAGAGGAGAAAGGGAGCTAAACTATTAATTATGGCTTTTGGAGGAGCAGTGGCACTGACAACACAAAGGAGAAATGTGTCGCTGCAGCTACTTAGTCAACTGAGCTGATACGGTCTGACCCCTCAAGTGTCTTTAGGATCGCTTTCTCTGCCTAAATACTTTCATTATCCCTCCACTGTACACCTCTGTTTACGCTTTCCTCCATGTTTGCTGTATTTTTTTTTTGTTCTGTGCTGTCAGCACAGAGTGACATCATACTCATGCTAATTTCAATATGGGTGACTTGGCTTTTCAGACTGCAGTCAGATTCCAAAACATCTGACCCATATCGGATTTAGAGCCATATACAAATATTGCCCAGATCGGATGTAAAATAACAAGATTCCATGTGACTCAGCCTGTTAAGACAATCATGAAAGAATCTCACCTGAGTCCCTTCAGGGCAGAAAAAAAAAATATCAGCTTTGAGCCAGATTTGTCTGCAGTGTGAACGTAACCATAGTTATACTTGTAAAGACAAGACCACATGAACCTGTCTAGATTAAATCCTACATCAGAGAACAAAACATATATTTGATCAGGTAAGTGTACAACATTAGTGTAGTGTTCATTTAATTTTTGCCCATGGTCATGTGGTCTGTGAATAATGTTGAGGATTGTTTGGGGTCAGTTTAGAAAGCTTTTAGTTCCCTCGGCAAGTAAAGGGGCTCTTGGGTCTCTAAGCAACTGATCTTAAGCACTTATTTTAATCTATTTGTTAAGTCTGCCATCTAATTATTACTTTATTAACTCTGATTTCAGTTGTAGACTGTTGCTATGGTCTTTGCTATAACTGGCCATTATATATGTGGCTGTTGTGCTGTGCTCTGAGCAAAAGTCTGACATTTTGAAACTTGAGATGTATCTGCTGCTAATTCTCTATTTGTTTTAATTTTACATGAGATTCAAGCTTAGTAAAAATAATGGGCAGAGTTGTAAAAACGATGATGGATAGATAACCTTAAAGTGGGCTTCATTTTGACCTGTTGGATAATTTGGTGACATTTTTGTTCTCCAACTTAAAATGTTCCTTATCAGCAACAGACGAAAAACAAATAAAAGGGTCCTAGAAAGATGAAAGATTTTGGCAGCTAAGTTTGAAAAATCTGATAATATCCCATAATAATAAATAGTGTGATCTCTGCTGAACTCGGCATGTGGGTTTTTGACTGCAGGAAAGTGTAACAGTTACGTTGGAGGAGCCATCAGAGCCATTCTGCTGTACAGTAAACAACGGCATCTAAGAAAAGCTTCCCTGATTCAACAGATTTTTGGAGAATCTACTTCATCATGAATGTCAGACTACCACACCATGATTTAAATATTGCTTGAATAATATAAAAGCATCCCAGACTGAGTTTTTTTTATTGAAAAGTTGAAAATAGAAACATGCTTGGCTAAAGGGTTGCAATATCTGCTGGCATTATAAGACAAATTTGACTCAAACATTTTGTTTGGAGATCAGATATTATTTTTCCCTTACACTAACACTGTAATAGCTTGTAGTTCTTAAAACAATATTTGTATTTAAGTTATACACAAACCCACAAGAAGCAATGATACAACCAATGATGACAGAGAGAACAACAGAGGGTTAGCCATTTTCAACCTGAAACCCTTTAATCGAAGATGTCCCTCCATCTGTTTGGGCTGATATTTGTCCTAAGGGTGTGTCTTGCTGGATTAATGCCAGAAAATCAAGACAGTAAAATGATGGATGAGGGTGTGGGAGTGAATGCGTACCTCAGTAAGAGCTCCTCTGTGTGTTCTGAAAGCTGCTGCTCCTCCACTATCAGACCGGCCAGGCCCCACTGAGCCAGCAGCTGGATCGGAAGCCGTTCCCAAACCAAGGAGCCTCTCAGGTAGGCCAGTATGTCTGCTCTGGTCGCACTGCACCCTGATTTGGTCGAGGAGCTGGGTGAGCTCCATCCCTGTGCCATCCTCCTCCTCCCTTCCTGCTGCTGCTGCTGCTAACAGAGCATCACAGGATCTGGCCCGCTGCAGCAGCAGAGCTTGGGCTGCCTGGACACAGGAAGGGAGGGGGGAAGAGAGGGAGATGATGCAAACAGTTAAGGATAGCAAGGGAAAAAATAGAAATATATTAAAAAGAATATTGACATTACAGGTTTAATAAAAGAAAAATGAGATCTAAAGAGGAGCATGGTCAGGTGAGGAATAGGAAGTAGATAAAAATCCAGAAGCAAAGAAACTACTGGAAAAAGAGGCAAAGGAGAAGGTGAGCCAGATGACAGGATGCTATGAACCGTTACATTCAAACATGCACCCACACACACCCAATAATTACACGTCTATTATGTCAAGGTTGAGGCTGGTCATCCATTCTTCACCTGTCATGATAACAGGGTTCTCAGTAATAATTACATAAGTACAATAAGGGTATGAAATGGAACTCTCTGTAATTCTAAAAGCATGTAATGGGGGTTATGTAGGGATCAAAAAACACTTCTAACAGGAGCAGGGGCAATTATTTAACATAACACAAATTATAGGAGTTTACTGCCAGATCAGCAAAACTAAGGCTGCATTGTTAATGTGGTAAAGCAGCATGCTAACACTTGTTAGTGCTTTTCTTTGAATACAGGTAGCATGTGTTCTTATTTAAGTGCTTTAATAACTGATACAGTGGCTGGGGTAAAAAACACTTCAAGACAATCAAAAAGCACATTCAGTAAAGCAGAATGTGCTATTTGCAAAGCATCTGGCTTGTCCATCAGTATTAAGAACATCCATTCTGTTATTTGCAGAGGTTTTTTTGTTGTTCCGTAAATGGACTGCTGTTTTTAATTTGATTTGAGTTTTTTCTTTACTATGAAGTATGTTCTTATGTTCTGTGTGAGTGGTCAGTGAATGGAGAGTTTATCTTTTGTATGTCTGCCTTTTTCTGTATGTCTGCTTCTGTCTCCTTGAACCCCAGTCGGCCTCAGCAGATGGGCACTGTCACTGATCCTGGTTCTGCTGGAGGTTTCTTCCTATTAAAAGGGAGTTTTTCCTCACCACTGTCGCTACAAGCATGCTAGGTCTTAGGGATTGCCTTCGAGTCAGTGAGTTGATGCAATCAACTGCTTTTCCTTTGATACAAAACTTTGAATCAATTTGACTGTATGATCTGGTTAAATGGTTAATGTACCTTGAGATGATATGTGGTGAATTGGCGCTATATAGATAAACTGAATTGAAATTGAACTAAATTTATAACTTTCTAAAGTCACAATAGGTGTAGACCAAGTGCAATGCATACCATAATAAGCAATGATGTAAAACATGTAGGGGCTTGGCTCAGCCTCTTAGGTACCATTAAAGAAACTCTAGATGGTGCAGCATTACCAAATAACAGTTTTAAAGTCACAGCTCTAGTGAGAGAAGCTGGATATTACCACTTTTTGTTCTGAGATAAGTTAGTGCACAAAGCAAGGTCCATAAAGACATCGTCATGATCGCAGTCCCAGTAGCTGATCTAATTACTCACCTCATTCACCTGCTGTACCCTCCGCGCTCTCTAATTATCATACATTTTATCCACCTGCTCCCGCTGCTTGATATACGGTTCAGCCCAGCTATTGGGGCCAGATCATTAGTTATTCATGTTTGTTTTGGTTTGATTTTAGTTAAGGCTATTGTTCATGTCCTGTTCATGGCCTGTCCCATCTAAGCGTGTCTGTCTGAGCTCGCTGCCTGACTAATGGAACTTGGAGCCTGCCTTAACACTCATTGGATTCCCTGGATCTATCTGTTCCTGTTTGGATCAGAACCCCTGACCAGGTTATGGACTCCTGGATCCCAGAACGGTCCTGTTCTGAACTATATCCCTGACCTGGATTGGTCTCCTGCCTGCTCACTAGGGTTGCTGCATCAGAGACACCCTGGACGGCTCAGCGCCACATCTTGCTGGCAGTGCATCGGCTGGATCCTGCCTTTGATGATAGGATGGACTGAACTGTTAAACCAGGTAAGTGACTCACACAGATAATAATCTTCTGTCAGATCATTGTGGTCACTTACCTGTGTTTTTCACACAACCAGACTGCCAGTGATGGGCTCTGCCTTCCCCCGCAGTCGCTGCAGGTTGCGGATCCACAGCAGCCATAGTTCCATTTCTGTTTTGTTCCATTTTTTCATTAAACATTTCCCACGGGAAACTTCCCACTGTCTGTCTCTACTGAATACTTGGTCCATCTGTCCTGTCTTATGACAGACATGGCCTGACTTTGGTTAGGAGGGACTTGACAGGTCTATACAGCATCCTGACCTCAAAACAACAGAAAACCTTTCGAATTAATCAAGTTTGTTTTGTGCCTTTCTTTTTCCATCCTATGGGACACAGACAGACAAAAGAAAGGATGGATGAATTAACTCCCCCCTATAAGATCCAATGTCCTTCCAAATGCAACTGAATGACAACTATGTAAAATTACTACAAATCAACAAATGCATCGAGGACGTCAGCATCAAAAAGAACATCACCACCCGGGCCAACCAACCACCCCAGATGAACGGAGTAGTTCGGAAATTGCTAAAAGCATGGAACTCAGTTTTCAAGTCTGGTGATAATGAGACACAGAAAACAGCGCGTACCAACTTAAACCATGCCATCAGATAAGCGAAGCAGAACCACAGCCAGAAGATCCCGGATCTTTTCAACAACACCAGCAACACCAGGAGGATGTGGAAAGGCATTCGGATGATCACGGACTACAACACGGATATGGCCAATTAGACTGCAGTGTGTGCCTATGTCCAGCCTACTGTAAGGTGAGAATGTGCTAAACAGGATAAATGTGTTCTGTGTTCTTATTGCAGGACCCAGATAGAGTCTGGCAATGTTTGTCTCTTTATGTGATCAAAATAAATCAGGCTTTGGCTTCGGATAACCTATAACTGTTTCCAGTTCATTTTCTTGAGCTATCAATAAAACAACTGAGTGATATAAAAAAAAGTTATCAATCCCAACATGGATATCATGCCTGCTTCTTAGAAGAGACCTAAAAAGAATCCATTAAACAGGATTTATTTGTTTCTGGACTTTATTTATGTCAGATCATATCTACTATGGGGAGAGCTTCACAAAATGTTACAGGATAAGGTAATAGTATCACCTTAGGGTAAAATTATTCTTCTTTTTCTAACCCTAATGACTTCTGAACATTATTTTGCTTAAAAAGTGGGAAGTCAAAAAACAAGTGTTTAGTACAAGATGAGACATATCTGTGGCTTACATTGCACCCCTATTTTGTATAGGGTAGCACATGAGTAGCGTAAGATCCACATTGAAAAGGTAGAAATCCAAAACTATAACTCTAATTCTGAACAAGCAAGCGAGGACAGTAAAAAAAAGAACCTCTCTTTTAAAAAGAAGAAATCTTCTAAAGAAAAGGGCTTAAATTAAAGTGATGAGTGTCAAACAGTGAAGTGGTTTAACATGCCTAAGGGCAGAGCAATATAGCTATAGGAACTTAAGCTGCTCTTGTCAGTTTTAAGCCTCATCTTCAAAGAGGATAGAAAGGATGGCATGAAAGAAAAAAAAATTCAGAGGGGAGGGGCGGACCTCAAACTCCTGGTCCATATGCTGCAGCTCTGTCATGGAGCGGTGGCACTCGGCCTGCAGGGTCACACTGCTTTCATCTGCCTCCCTCTTTGCCTCTCGGAGCAAAGCCACTTGCTGTTCAAGACGCCTGGTGGTTCTCTCCTCTGTTTCACACCTAAAACCAGATGGGGGATGCATATGATGAGATGTATCAGAAAAGAAAAAAAAAGTCTTCAGCTTCAAGTAAATTCAAATGTACAAATGTGTTTGTGATCAAACCAATCATTAAAGGAACATAAAATCATTGAAAGTTTTCAGCAGTTTTGCTATATTGAGACCTGATTATCAATCACAAACTGACATTTTAACAAGTTTGCTCCTTATAACACAAAAAGCTTTGATAAATTAGTTCTTCAAAGAAAAAGAAAGACAGAATACTATCAGACAAAGTCTTAACTGGGTGGTTAACAAGGTCCAGAGCCTCTCTGACACTGGAGCTGCTTAGGAAACACATTAGGTAGAGCTATAAAAAGAACAAGGAGCTGCCTCAGTCCTTCATGGGTTAATGGCTGATAGTGGAGGCAGTTGGCAGCGAGCTGGGTGTCGCTCTGCATCAATACATAAGCGAAAGTGCTGTTGCTGCACAAAGCCTTGACCGGATTTGTATGTGGGTTGGCTCACACAAGGGTAAGGTTACAGCGGGCTGAAAATCAGGATGTAAACAAAGCGTAGCTCATACGTTCTCAGTGAAATGATTGCAAGCGCTGCTAAACATCTTTATTTATAATAATGTAATTTTTTTCACAAAAACTCATTGTTTATCAGGGTTTAGATACTTTAGCTTTGATAGCTTAGACTGTTGTTAATAAAATCTACATGGCTGCAAAAATTAAAAGGAAAAAAAGGAGCATTTGAAGTTTCAGGGAAACAAAAGTAAAATACAGCTGACCTGGCCTGGATGGCAGAAGCTCTGGATCTCATGTTGTCACACTCTAATGCCAACTGGGCATTCTCTATGAGCACAATACAAATCTGAAAAAAACAGAAAACAGATTTAAAAAGCTATACAAAAAAAAACAGCATTTATTTTTGATGAACATGTTTATTCCCACATGGTGGCATTAGTGCCTAAATAATTTCTCTTAGATACTCTCAAACAACTCCAGACAGAGTGGCAATTCTAATAAACGACACAAAGGCGAAAACATTAGTGCTGGTTGTCCCAAATTGGTTGGCATTAGTTCAAGGCATTGTTTGATTCTGATCATAGGAGTCCTGAGTAATTAAATCTAACTCCCTAACCTGTTCTTGAACTGCAGTGTGTTCTTTTTGGAACCTGCATCCAAAGAGTAAACATGATTTTAATAAAATCACCACACATTTTTATGTATAGGTATTGCAGAATGTGCTATAGGCCTGCAAGGAGTGTAGTTATACATTCAGCCTACAAGAGGAGACAAGACAAGACAAGAATCTAAATTTAAAAAAACAATCGAGATAAAGCAAGTTCAGTTTTGGCAATGACTGATGAGAGATTATTTCAAAGAGTTTAATCCCTGTCTTTAGATCTTTCCACTCCCATGTTTGACCTTAGCCTATGGCATTTACCCTTGTGTAGGGTACAAGGAAGGCATTCAAATGATCCCTTTTTGAGTAAAAAAAAAAAAAACTGCACTGGAAAAACGATCTAGAAATAAGTACATTTTTTTCTAAAGTGAAGTGTATTTACCCTTAATTTGGGTAGGTAAATGAGATAGCAAATTTAATATTTTTACTCTTAAAATAAGATAATATGCACTTGAAATAAGACAATGCAATTGTTTTTTTCTTATTTAAAATGTAAATTGTCTTATTCCATCAGCAAAATTCCACACTTACTTCCTAAATTTAAGAAAAATGCAATTCTTTTAAGAAAACAGGACTTATTTAGACTTAAATTTTTTTGCACACATTTTCATATAATGAAAACTATCTAATGAAGAAAGTTTAGGTTCTGTTTTTTTTGTTTACTTTTATGAGTTTTAAAGTTTTGAACTCAAGACCTGTTAGTCTCTATCCTAAATAAAGGGAAACACGAGTAATGAAGCACCACTGAAATGTGTTCCAAAACCAAGCATGATCAAAGAGACACATTAAAACACTGAGTAAACGTAGCTAATTGATTGACAGTTTCTTTGGAACCCAGCAGTTATCAGTTATTGAGAACACTCAGCTCTGGTTTCTGGAGATTTTCTAATTTGCATTTCTCAACTAAGTGGTTAGAGGAGGGTTACAAAGAACAAACGGATCTCATTGTACACCGCTATCACTCACAAGAATATAGAGGAAATATACACAGCAGGAAGTTTGGACCTTAAACCTTTAAAGCAGCACTAAGAAATGTTCGAACCACTTTCCCCCTACAGGACCTAGAGAAAATAACACTTTTGTAAACCCTGACTGCCCTCTGCAAGCAGCACACCCCACTGCTGCAGCACTGTTACACTGTAAGCAGCTGGGGGATGCAAATCATAATGAAATTTCTGAAGAGGTAATATTGGACATTATCTAATGTAAACCAGTTACAGCAGCCTTTTGGCTGCAAACTGGCACTTTTGTCAGTGAACTGTAAGTCCTCCTCTCGAGTAAACAGTTTTTCATTCACTCTCATAAGGTGATTCAGCCTCTCCACCTTGCTCCACATGCTAAAAATCAATCACTAAAGTCATAAGAGTAACACTAACAGAGGTTGGCAGATATGATACTTACAGTCCAATTGTAGGTCTGCATCAGTTTTGTTTTCTTTTTTGTTTTCTTTGTTTTTGTTTGAGGTCTCACAACTGAACACAGACGGTACCCAAACTCATTCTTGTGCAAATCCTTTCCTCATTGGATTCTCATTTTCTCTTCCTTTCCTCTTTTGACAATGATTTTCTTTGACCTTCTTTGCTGGCTCCATCATGTCACAAACCTCTACAATGAAAATGTAAAAAATTCTATGTGGGTATCGCAGCACGATGCATGTGGCTATTGATGCCAAAGCTTTACATTGGGTTGCCATAAAGCTCTTCGTCTCACCCCAAGAACTAGAACAGAGCCGCAAGTCTGCCACCTGATCGGTGGCACAGAAACTGGCAAGTGTGTTTTTCCAACCAGCGCCAGTAGGGGAAGATGACAGAACACTCATTGTCTCATAAACACTTAGATTAGCATCAAAGGGACTTAGAAAACAATATAATAAGGTAAAAATTAAGCTTAATGCTGATTTAAGTTTCTCCAAGAAAGCAGATTAAAGACAATGATTTTATGTTCTCTGGATCACGCTGAATTTGCACATCAAAACCAAAAGGCCAACACAATGATTTTATGTTCTCTGGATCACGCTGAATTTGCACATCAAAACCAAAAGGCCAACACAATGATTTTAATGAGCTTAGAAAATGAAGTTTTTGGTTTTTATCGTTTAACACCCAAACTTTTTCATTCGACATTCTTATACATCAGAACAATATCTGCAGCAAAATAAGTTCTGCAGGTCAGTACAGATGTAATTGGTGTTTCTTTTTTTTTTTTTTTTTTAGGAAGCCGACAACAAGCAGAACAAGAGAGCCAAATTAACCAAACAGTCAGTTTAAGTGGACGCATGTAAGAAGATTAATGGCAAATATCGCCACTAGAGCAGCATAATATGGCTGTCATGCAAAAATTCATGTTGGGACAAATAAACTGTTGCTGTCATTAATAACAGGTGCGAAAGACTGCATAATCAAATTGGGACTTCGTATTAACTAGAAACGTTCCTTAAAATGCTCCAGGGTGGTACTCAAGACCAAGAAAATCTTAATTGCTTAACCCCTACTACTACTACCGGTACTAATACCTGTTCAAAAAAACACTAATAAACGACTTAAAATTCAAACACAGTTCATAGCTTCTTTCTGTAAAGCAATGACAGTTACAGTAATATGCGGTTGTGGTTTGAATAATCAGGTGGGATTAATTCTAAGAATTCTCATTTAAAACAGAAACTTGCTTGTTGAAGATATGATACTCTTTGTCCTTCTTATTTATTCAGAGTTTATAAATCTTATCCCAGGTCATGTTTGTTTGAATAAGTTTGTGACATAAATGGATGACTTTGCAAGGTAATGCACTTTTGAAAACCAAGTGATATTTGCTATGAACATATGTTACTGTCAATTGGAAGTGAATTCATGGTGATTAATATGTTTAAAAAGCACTTTAAAGGCGGAACAAAAACACTCAAGTGCCTGGGGGGAAATGAAAGAGAAAATTAGTTGTTTTTTGGCTCACACATCAAACATTTATCACACCCTTATTTCTTTTTTATCTTTTCATACGTACAAAGTGAGAAACACACCCCAAACTGAAAGAAAACTCCATGATAGCATGGAATATTCCCAGACTTGACTATAAACATCATTCTGCTATGATTATAAGAGTATCATTTTAGGCCGTAAAAGGTGAGTGATCACCTTCTTGTCTTTCAGGTTGACTACTCATCTTTAGGATTGTGCTGTTACAAAAAAAGATAATTAGAAAATGGTGTCATGGAACGATGTGTCGAACTTTGTAAGTGAGGTAGAGTTCAGAAATAAGGAAGATATTAAAAAATCTGTTAAGATTATGACACATACAAAGAAGTTTAAAACAAAAATAAGAATAATAATAAAAAAAGAGGTAAATCCATAACTTTTGGTCATGTGACACTGTTTCACCTGATACACCAGATAGTTAATGTACCCCAGAATCAGACAGCCCTCAAACTGTGTAACATTCCCACCACATTTCTTCTTGTGTGACAGACTGTGCCACTCCGCTGCCCTCTGGCTATCTGGCTCCTGGCCAGGCAAAATGCCACAGACATGTGCTTGTAATTCTATACACCAGATTCTATTTGATGGAGGTTTATTTCTGACAAGGAGTCGTAAAATCAAGGCCCGAAAAAATTAAAAAGCTTGTATAGACTAGTTCCAGGCATTTGCATTTACAGCTCCAAAACGAAGACAGGAGGTCTAATCCTAAGGAAAATTAGGCAGGGTTTCTACTTTTTGGACTGATACTAAATGTCAAATGGGCAAAATGTGCAATATATATATATATATATATATATATATATATATATATATATATAGAGACATATAGCTATTTTAAGAAGTATACAAACATCAAAACATACTATATAATCTTAAGTTTAGGTTTAATAACTGTAGTCATACAAATTCATATATTTGGTTGTCAGTGCAGGCATTGTTTTTAAAAGAATGGTCCTTCCTATCACTCCATATTAGACCATTCCAGGATTACAGAATAGTATAAATGAAGAAATGCCCCTGGATGTTCTTGATAAGACAAGCCTGCTAAAACTTACCATTTAAAACCAACAACCATGAATTCAAGTGAAATGCATGGGACTAGTTTCTCCATAGCGGTGGAATGAGCTGAGCTTTCATGTTGCCTCGGCTTAATGCTTCTAAGATATATATATTAGCTGAAAAAATCCTGTCATGTTCAATAGTTGTGGTATAAGGTAGCAAAAAAAGCATAAAAATGTATTCAATAAAGAATTTTAACAACATTGCATATGAAGCTATCTTAAAATTGAGAGACTATATTAAGTCTTAGCCGCTGCTGCTAAATCTGAATTGCACAGTTTAAGCTGATGTAATGGAAAGTGGTTTTCCTCTGAACGGCCTGAAGAGTGACATCTAATTCTCTGTGGTTTCTGTTGTTCTTTATAGTCACTGATTACTTATATTATCTCAAATCTCTGACCTGGGAACGGAGCTCCTTCACAGTCTGCTCTTGCTTGGACCAGTTCTGGGAGCGTGAGGCGCTCCTGAAGCTCCACTCGACTATCTGAGCCTCAAGCTGGCGATTGGCCTCCTGCAGCCCGTTCACCTGCTCCATGAAGTTCTTCAGTCGAGCATTCAAGTCCCACATGCTTTGGCTGGAGTCCTGTAACAAGTCCATGGATACCTTTGATAGAAGGCGTTCAAATGTTTACTGTCTCACACAGCAGTTATGTTCACAAAGTGAAATGCAGCACCTGTGACGGCCAAAACACTGAGGCCGAACAGAACTGGTGGAGCCACATATACAGTAATATGAGGTTTATAACTTTCACAGCAAACACTATGCCTCCCACATGAAATCACATGCTGACAAAGGTGTTTACAAGGTAAATGTTTACCCACTGATACTCACCTGAATCAACGTGGCCCTTCAAAAACGAGGCAAAGCTGTTTTAGTTGAGTAGTTCTCCTGGTCACACCAAAGTAGTCCTGGAATTCCAACACATTAACAATATTTCTTTACAAAGAGGCAGTCAACACTTTCTATTATCCCCTGTATCCAAGGGCATCGTCAGCCGATTGTTAAAGCTGTTCGTATCACAAAGTCTGTGACCAGGGTCAGTCACAACAGCGCTTTTCCTCCCTGCCCCACCTCACTAGTCTGGCAGGATGTGGGACTGAGGAGAGTCATGGGGTAAGCCCTGGATGCAGTGCCTACCTCTCCGACACTCTAGGGGCCCTTTGTGCTCTATGATCCAGGATTACAGAGCTGCTTTCAAAACAGGCAGCAGCAAAAGCTGCAAAGGGGTTGCTCAGGGAAAAACAGTCAAAAGACCACTGTGGATTTAAACATACCATAACTAACATCAGTCTGTGCCCCAGACCTTTGGTCCTACTTAGCTCTTGCTTAAGGTTTGTAAAGACTGGCTTGGAAAAAATAGTGTGTCTGCCAGACAGTGTGGGTCAAAGATTGCTTCTTTAACTAGTATGATGTGACTCAAACAGTGCTAAAAGAAATGCCTTTAAATGGGGTCTCATTACATGTTTGTTCTTGGGACTTTACATACATTTCCATATCTTTCTTAAACAGCCAGCAGGCAAAGGTGCCCTGCAGAGTCTCACTGCAACCATAGAATAATAAACCGTAAAAGATGTTCTGGAATGAATGTTTGGTTTAGCCAGAGGTGTGTTCCACTCAGGCTTTACGTATGCAAACAAAACAGATCAAAGGGCAACATAGAAAGGAAAAATACTTTCATATGTCATGCAAGTTGCAACAAATTAAAACTGCATAAATAGAAGCTGATTTTACATAAAATGATGTTTAGTATCAGTTGATCTCAGATAAAACTTACAGAGATACATAAACCATGTTGCATGCTTTAAAATGTTTCTGTTTTGTAGCATCTAACATATAATTATTACAGTAAGAGTTAAATCAGTCATTTTTATAGCTCTCCAAATGAACACATGTATTTTGCTCCTTGTAATCAAAAACTCATTAATACATCAGTCTCTATTGTAACCATCACCTTTATTTAACTACAGCTTAGAAGTTCAACACATAAAGCTGTAAAAAGACACAGGCTGTTTAAACCACTGATAACAGAAGCCTATAGTACCCAGTTAGGTGCAACAAACTAGATTATTAATATTACCCCTGCTGTCTGGGTAGCTCAAGTGGTAAGACTTGCACACAGGAGGCCCTAGTTTGAATCTCCACTGGGGGGAATGAGTGGCTCCTGTCTTTCCCTTTCGGCCTGGGAGTGGTGGCCTAGTGGTTAGGCATAGGGCTTTGAATCCGGAGGTTTTGAGTTTGATCCCACAGACTGCCACTCTGGCTCCCTGAGCAAGACCCTTAACCCCACACTGCTCCCTGGGTGCTGCACAATGGCAGCCCACTGCTCCCCCAGGGGATAGGTTAAATGCAGAGAAGTAATTTCCCACTGGGATTATTAGAGTATATAAAATAAAATAAAAAAATTCCCACATGTAAATATTTTTATCTAATTTGACGACACTTTTTTAGCTATTGCAGCTTCAATCTTTTCTTTTCAGGAAGCTCGGGCATGTGTTTCCATTTTTCAGGCGAGGTGAGGCACTAATGTTGGATGACAGACCACGCTGTATTTCACTGGAGCATTATCTACTATGTTGATCTGTGAGCCACCTCTTTAACACCAAACGCCATCATATCTTTTAAAAACCTTACTATGAGCAATGGTGGATTGGGCTGGCACAGAGTCTGGTAAACTGCCTTTGACTACGGCCACATCTGGCTGGACCAATCACAGCGCTTTAGACAGGACTTTACCATGCTTCAATCAGCAGCTTTTCTGCAAGCATACTGGTAATGGTGCGTTCAGAAAAGATGAGTTCTGGGTGTCAAAAACACTTAAATGCCAATCTTGAACACTGAGTCAAATGCTTGTGAAGATGCTTTGCCATTTTGACACTCTGGATGCTCAATGCTTTGGTGGTTTATCTGCTTTGTTCTGTTGGTGTAGTCTAGAGAGCAGCTTTGCTTTTTTTTGTAATTTTTGAGCAAGAATGTCCACCTCAAAATGCCAAAGTCAGTTTGTAAGAATAATGATCCTGCTTAAATATTCTGTGTTGTTCAGAGCGACAGACCTCCAGCATGCTGACGGGGAGTGAAAGCTCTGCAGCTTTTACTCCCAGGGATTGCCCGCTGTCGTTTGTAGCGCCTTAAATTGAATATGTAATAGTTTTAAAAGAAAGCAAATATTTCATCAGGTCATCAGGTTTTAAAATTTTTAGTTAATTTAGTTAATATTTAAACTGTTTCTCCACCTTTCACTAAGAACATGTTTTAATGAGTAGGAATAATCAGAGCTTGCTCTATTTTCCTGTTTTGAAATCTTTTTGAAATCTGTGGTGTTAATATATGTGGTGTTTATATTGATTTATTTTCCTATGCTGAAAGCTTTGCAGAAGTGATCACAGCTTGCATGTAATATCTGACTTTATAAAAGTCCTGGATAAGCTGTTGTGACTGGTTGATGCTCTGTGTCAAAGGAATGGTGCCTATGATGGGTTTAACACTCCCAAGGCTTGGCCACACCGCAGTACCTCTTAACACTGCTTTATGCCATCCCCCATAGACTTTACATGTAATTTAGATGCTATGACGCCCAGAATGCATTCGTGTGAATGCACCTTAAGACGGTGGATTTCAAAGCATATGCCTCCTGCAGGACATTTAAAAACTCAAAAAAACAGAGCTCACCTCTTTGATTTATTGTGAAGTTTTTACCAGCTTTTTACCAGACTGACATGTCGAGTACACAACGCATCAGTCTGGCTGGTCAGGCTACTGGTGGACAGTCATCTTAGGACAGCAGGCCCATTCACACACTGTTCTCAAAGGATAAAGAGTAGAAAAATGTCCACATTGTATGATGCAGCAGAAAGAGCTACTTTCACAAAAGCCCTAAAAGAAGCTCCACATAATAATCCCCTACAATACTTTACATTTGGCACTGCACAGTCCAATCAACTACCAACCTCTGACATAACTAATTCCCAGTATGATTCTTTACAGCACAGGACAGTTTCCAATACTTAAAAGTCCAGTAGAGTAGTAGAGTTCTGTGCTCTAAACTGCGTGCAGCATGCTTTACATCACTGCATGCTGCTTTGCATTGCCATTGGTGATGTAAAGTTCAGGTGTGTATCTACTCACTATGCAGAAAGTTACACTTGACTGTACTATATTTATTGGTGAGGATATTTTTATAATGCCTGGGAATATTGCATTCACCTGTTGCTATTAAAGTGACTGTAACATCTGAACTTTTTGACCTATGAATGACCAAATTATATTTTGCTAATATGATCTACAGTTCGTGTTAATTTTTTGAGCTTTGCAAACATAAAACACACAGAAAGTGAATAATGAAAATTTGAGTTGTTATTCAATGGTCTTAAGTGGAAATTGTTTTAAGATGTTGCATATTTTTTTAGACCAGTTTATTAAAGAGAAACGCGTTCCGGCCATTCACAAACTGCAGAGGACATCCCTTCAAAATTTGATTTGAAGATTTAACACCTAGATGTGCGCATCCCACATTAGGCTGGTCTAAGCTTGGTATCTCTATGTTTGGAAATGAGACGCATGGAAGGCTGCAGACACAGTTTGCAGTATTTTATACTCCTGCTGTACTAAATATTAAAATAGACTCTAGTGGCAGTGCAGAGAATGGTTAAAACACTTCACTGCATGTAGAGGTAGAAAACATTTCCAACATTTCCAATACCTCTTGATGTCATTATAGAGTTACAATATTTCTGTTCAAGAGTTGTTCATATTGTACTGATATTTATGGGTCAAATCATACAGTGGATGTTAACTGTAGTCGAGTTGTATTCTAGATAATTTCGGACACTTTATTTGTTAAACTTAGAACATGCCGAAGATTCCCTCCCCTCCTTATTTTCCCCATTCATTGTCCAAGACTTATGAAATTCATACCACAATCACAGAGAACAGGTATGAGTATGTGAAGAAACTTGCATAATTGTAAACACACTATTTCTCAAACTGAGCAGGGGAGGGAGATCTTGGCAACTTAGAACCCGGAACCTGCGGAAGATTCCCTCCCCTTCTTATTTTCAAAGTCCCTCAAATCACTTTTTCTTTGCCACTTGATCGCTATGCTGTTCAGAACAGGGCAGGCTGTGCGCTACTCATAAGTGCACAGCCTACCAAATGTTGAAAAGGCAATTTTCTGTTAATATATATAATGGAAATTTAGAGATTCAGTGATAAAATTTCACAGGGCATGGAATGGGAGGATGGTTATTTAAGAAAGGGGATGATTTTTAAGATTTTTTTAAGAAGGGCGATGCCACACCTGGATGTTTAAACGGAAAAGTTAAAAAAAAGTATTCAAAATGTTCAGTTTATCAAAAAAAAAAAAAATTATTTATAGTCCTTACGTTTTCCAAATCTGTACACTGAATCTTTGAACAAAATTTAAAAGAGATGATAAAAACTTGATTATCTAATCTAATCCTTTCTAATCATTTTATATATGGTTTTATATTTTTCTAACAGGTTAACTGACTAACTTTGCAGGATTACCTGTGGCCTCTAGAGTATTTAAAAACAGAGCAGTAAACAGACTGGAACTAAATAGAATTGGAATACTTCAACTGAAATGAACAGGATCAAGTTGAACTGTAAGCATAAAAAGTTCATTTTAATTGAAGCTATTGAACCAAAGATGATCTGAACTGATGTAACCCGAAGCGGTTTACAGCTAAATCTGGACAAAAAACCCTAATATTGTGTGAAATGTGTACACCTGCTTTGAATTTAAAGTACCATGTCTGTGAATTTTCATTTACTATATCTATGTACATTTAACTTCTGCACTGAGTAAATTTGAGGGCGGATGTTTGAGTTATAAAGGCAGAGAGCTCCAGCCACTTTACAAACATTGTCTCGGTCTAGACTTTTGTTCTTTCTGCAGACGCGCTAAGACGCTTTTGAAGCTTGTTTGTTAAGTTTCACTTGTCAATTAAACAAAGTGTCAAGTTAATACCAGACGGAGAACCTCACTACTACTTAATTATCTTGAAGAAGATATCAAAATTTAAAAAAAAAGCATGTGAGCCGCTCAAACAAGCCAAGCATGTCTTCTATGTGACTTACTGTCAGCACACTCCCACGCCCTCTCATCAAAGAGGCCTTCACTTTGCAGAGAGATGACAAGTAAATTTGCTGCCCAGTCAAAAAATCCTCAGCGAAACAAAGGCAGCGCCGCGACGAGCGTCTGGGTCTGATGATTTTTGCTGCCAACAAAAAGGAGCAATGTCACAGATCCTGTTCTTAATGTAATGTTCCTCCCCTCAGTAATCGAAGAAATGCCTTCTGACGCATAGCATGCGTGTTTGTTAGTGAGTGTATGTCTGAAGCAGGTGCTAACTTGCTATTCAAATTTCAAGAGAAGAGGTGGAGGCTGTAGCGGTGGACACTGTGTTTAGAAGAGAAAAACAAAACAAGCCAACCTCAGATTATGGGTTTTAGCACCTGGTACTTTCATGAACCTGACCTGTAGGTCGCTCTGCATTCCTCTCTTCCTCTGAAGGCTGTACTTTTAGGAACTCACTGAGTCCACTTTCCATTTTCTGCACAAAGAGCCCTTTATCAAAGGATTTTAAAGGACAAAAATTAAATCCTCTAAAACATTTTTGTGCAATCTTAAAATAAACTTAGTGTCAACATGTTTTTGACAAAACAATATATTATTATATACACCACTTCACATGAGGATAGCAGCTTTTGTGGCCTAAGTCCAAAACATTTAGCAGATTATAATACCAGGAACTCTTAAACAGAATTTGCTATAATAATTATCTTCAGCTTATGTTGCATAAGCCTACACTCACATAGTCAAGTGTACACAAGGTTAGTAGTATATCTAACAATTGATCCTGGACTTCCAGACACTAAACTACTGTGCAAGAAGCTTGGGTATGTTATCCAGGTTAGGATTTATTTGGCATAATCAAAAATAATAACAATAATTATGAAAAATATAAAAATAATGCCACTGTTACTATAATTATGACTTTGGTAATATTAAATTAAGCTAATGCATATTCCCGAGTATCTACTATTTAAAAACCAAAGGACAGAAAACAGAAAATAAATACCATTCTTGTCTACCACTATGGGGGAAAAAATAAAAAAAACAAATTCTTATTAAATACCTAATCTTTTAAGTTTTAAATATTATAAATCTTTTTAAAATACTATCAGTACTATTTAAAGATATAAAAAAAAGAGAGAAAGAGTGGGAGTGGGAACAGGCAGCCCAGACTGACTGGATGGAGCCAAATCCCCCTGGCCACTGTTGTCCCACAGGTGTTGATCATAATACTGGGTTGAAATACCCAGTGTTAAATTGGGTTTTCTAGTTTTAGAACCACCTTTTATTATTAATACCACTATGAAATACAAGAAAAAAGCTCCTAGCTTACTTTGCAGTCCACAGCTTCCTCGCTGACTGAAAAACTGACTCTGATACTGATGTTTGTTATCTTAGATGAGGAAAAAAATCAAAATGAAATAACTAAAAGCAAAAACAACACCAATACTTCTTGCAGGAGCAGAATGTTTCATATACAAAGTTTTACTTATCAGGTTGTTTGGTAGAAGCATTAACATGTTTTGATGTACAAGAGTCAGAATCCAAAAGACCAGCAAGATCATTTTAAATTCCAGTTAAATGTAGGTAAAGGACCAGATTAGAAATAACTTATTTAACTGTATTCAACCGTAAAAAGAAAACAAGGAACCTACATTTAGTTGTAGTTTATTGAATAAAAACATTATCTGTGTCATTGAAATCGGGTGACTGGCACAAAAACATCTGGGGGTCAGAAAGTAATGGCGCCCTAGGCCCTACGCTGTGTTAGGGACTGATCTTCAGAAGGTTGAGCAAACCTGTTTGAACAGAGCAGATTTTCAGAGATCCTGTGAAGTCCGTGTGCAATTAAGCAGAAATTAAGCAGAAATTGTGTGCAAACCTTTTATTGGAGGCCTCCATCAATATTCACATAATCTTCTAATGACCAAACTGGACAAATTCATGGTTGGATGATACGCTGATTTTACCAGGTGCAAAGCAATTTTCCAAATCTCAAACTCATCTGCAACCAGATTTTTTGCATCTTTTATAGTACTTCTTAAAAATCAGGTAAAAACTGACAAACGAAAATATCTGTGAATAATGATGCCCGAAGAAGGATTTGTACAATAGCAGAGGATGGAGAGAAACTCTGTTAGCATGTATATATAGTTGGGTCGGTAGAAATACTAATAGTACAATAACATTCATGAAGAAAAAAAACACAGGCCAGGACAAATTAATGCAGCAAGATGGCAGATCATTCTTAAACAATGAAACCTAATCTAAGAAAAATGTTTACACTTAAAAAAATATCATAATGACCATTTATAAATGGTAAAGAGATCAGTTATTAACAGTTTATAAATGTTGGATTGATTAATAAACTTAGTCTAAACCATTTTATAAAGGTTAGATAGATCATTTATTAAGGTATTAAGTTCACAGATGTTAGTGTTAGGGTAAGTTCAACATGACAGGGCAAGATTAATTAGGGTTAGTAATTGAATTTATCTTTATGGACGATCTCACCCTAACAGCAAGATCAGTACCAGAAGGAAGATGGATTCTGGAGGACTTGGCTCAGGATCGGTACCACTTCAAAATTGGAGAGAACACCATCCCAACTGTCCAAGAAAAGCCTGTGAAGTGCTTGGGGAAGTGGTACAGGGCGGACCTCAATGACAGGCAGAGTGTGAAGGAGATGCTTAGCCAGGCAGAAACTTGGATGACATCTCTTGAGAAGAGCGGCCTCCCGAGCAAGTACAAACCCTGGGGTTACCAACATGGGGTTCTCCCCAGACTGCTCTGGCCTCTCCTGGTCTAAGAGGTACCTGTCTCCACTGTTGAGGGACTGGAGAGAAAACTGAACACCTACCTGAGGAGATGGTTGGGCATCCCAAAAAGCTTTGCTCCATTGGCCTGCCAATAACATCAGTGGTGGAAGAGTACAAGGCGACAAAAACACGCCAGGCCATGATGCTGCGGGACAGCAAAGACGAGAGAGTATGTCAAGCAGAAATCGTCATCTGGACAGGCCGAAAGTGGTCAGCCAGCAGAGCATTAAAGGAGGCCGAGGACAGACTGCATCATGCAGACATTGTCGGGTCAGTAGCCCAGGGAAGGCTTGGTGCAGAAAGAGGTCAGAAAGGTGGAGGAGGAAAGCTGGCATGTCAAGGCTGTAGCCATGAACAAACAAGGCAGCTGGACTAGATGGGAGAGTGTGAGAGAGAGGGCTCTTACTTGGCAGGACATCTGGAGCATGGAAGGCCACCGCATCAAGTTCCTTTTATGCTCTTTTTATGATGTCCTACCTACTCCCTCAAACCTGGACACTTGGGGAATGGTCAAGAGCCCAAGCTGTAAGCTCTGCGGAAGGACGGCTAACCTTGAGGAAGTCCTCTCTCCATGTCACTCAAGCTTAGCAGATGGCAAGTTCTGGTGGCGTCATGACCAGATCCTTGCTCAATTGGAAGACGGCATCGAGCAAGCAAGGAAAAGGGCAAGACAGCTGTCCAAAGGGCCTTGTTTCATACATTTTACCAGGGCAGGAGAAAGTGGAGTTGCAGGAGGGAGGAGCAAGGGGGTCCTGGCCACAGCAAATGACTGGGAGATGCGGGCAGACCTAAAGAAGCAGTTCAAATTCCCTGAGGAGATAGCCCACACTAGCCTGAGACTAGATATTGTTCTGTGGTCTAAAGGTACCAAGCAGGTGGTGCTCATCGAGCTGACTATCCCCTGGTAAGAGAGAATGGAGGAGGCCTATGAGCGTAAGCTCAATAAGTACCAAGCCCTCATCCTAGAGAGCCAGCAAAATAGATAGAAGACCTGGAATCTCCCAGTGGAGGTGGGCTGCAGAGGCTTTGCTGGATGGTCACTTTGGAGAACCCTTGGACTGCTATGAATTGAAGGGCTGGCCAGGAAGCGGCTTGTAGCCTACGCCACCAAGCGGGCGGAGGAGTCATCTCGCTGGATTTGGATCCAGTTCACTCAGTGCTGGCAGAACCGCAGCACTGAGTGAATGAAGAACTGAATATAGAGTTGAGTGGCATTCAGTAGGGGTGGGTCCAGGACGCTGGATCTGCCGTTGAGCCCCTCCGAGGTGTCATGGGCTTAAATCAACTTAACACCAGTGAAGGGGGGTGCCCATTTGACAACCTGCTGAACTTACCCAACTCCTATTCCAGTCACAGAGACCTAGTGATGCCTTGATGGAAGGAGAGAGAGAGAGAGAGAGAGAGAGAGAGAGCGATGCCACTGGCACACAGATGGTGCAGGGGCAAGTATCTGTAAAGGTGGGCCAGTTGCGATATCCCTTATTGTATTTAGCATATTATAAATGGCTAAGATCCATTTTGTAAATGGTTATAAAACATTAATAAACTATATTTCAATCACTAATAAATTATCTCTTTACATTTATAAATGATGGTTATTCTTCATTGTTACCAGAAAAATTACTGAACATTAAATACTGTCATGTTTATAAAAGAAAAATAGATTATTAAAAGAGCATTCAAAGAGACATAGGGGACAAAAATGTTCACCTATTAGTCATGTGACACTGTTTTTTTCTTCCTTGCTTCAACTAAGCATGAAGCAAGGTTATGTTTTGTAGATTTGCACTATAATGGTTCTTTAATATTTAACTTTATTTTCATTATTTTGTTCCTTACTTTTGTTCCTAGCACTTTGAGATAAGCTACCTATGCAAAGGGATCTAGCAATTTTTGTAGATCACCCGCAGGATGCACACTTATTGCACTTATTAAAAAAAATTGCCTAAGGAAGTTTAGTCCCTTATTGTGAATTTTTTAAGATCAGGCCCTCAGACTCAGCAGACGCTCCGAAAAAATCATACCACAGCTGGGTTGAGAAGCTCTGTTTTCAAACTCTTCCTGAGATTGAGACGGTCTGCTAACTGTCTGGGGTTCAGCCCCCTTCTTTGTCATCTTTCTTTTGCTGTTCATTCTTGCACATCGCAAAGCAATGGGCCACAATGCAAGAGATGTTTTGAATTGTGGATTTTACAGAATGGTCTGGCGAGTAGGATCAGTTAATTTTAAGAAGGCATTCTCGTGCAATTGTCTAAAAGTTGTCATAAATCTTAGGCCAGTCTCATTTTTGAGTCAATAGAATAGAATACATACCTGTAAGAAT